CTGCCATCATTAAGAAGATGATAATCAACTCTCTCGGAGCGAAGACGGCGCTTCCCAAGAGACATGGATAAGTCATCCATATTAAGAAAGAAGTTGCAACATATTGATATGCTTTGTATCTCTTAGAGCTCAAATCCTCTAGTTGGAGCATGTTGGGTAAACAAAAGTCGCGACTGCTGGGCATTCATTCATTGGCTCGGCTTTTGCCGAATAAGTCTTGGCATTATTTACGAATATTCGCGAATAATACGAATAAAACGTCTCGAAATTTAGTCGAATACGAATAATCGTTCCCAGGGAAAAGTCGAATACGAATAGCCAAAATCCTTATTCGTGTCCAGCCCTAGTTGCCAGGGTATATACATTTCTTCAAAACCTATCCGACAATTCTATTGAAACCTTCTTCTCTTTTATTCAGCATCTTCAAGTCAAAGTTGCCTCAAGTCTTATATAAGCGTTTGTGGACGTCGTCAAAGGTTATATCTGAGCAAGGTATCACGGACTCCATCAGTTGTCAATTGTATTCAATCCACGCCCTGTGGAACAGGGTCACACGCCCTTTGACACGATGGATACAATGGAGCACTTCGAATCAATGCCTCAAATGGAAAACTATTTTGATTTCCAGCAAGCCGCAATTCCTGAAGACAGTATTCTTCCCGATCCAATTGTTCAGGTCGCTGAGGTTCCTCGTTCGACCAACCCTTGCCCGTCGCATCCAAACAACAAGTTCGTCTCGCCATATTCCGAACTATATTGAACTCAACTAATGGCGCTACTAGCTGTATATGCCACGGGTTCTTGGACGATTTCCTTCCTGACCCGGTACTCGAACTCGAGCCAGAGACGACTGGTCTAGCAGATCAAGGTGAAGGCTTCCAGGACTTCTCCGCCTTCCTTCCCCGATATTCCAAGCCAGAGGACTGTTGCGGTTACTGCCGTGAAAAAAACATGGAGTGCTTCTTCACTTACGAGGGCCAGGCCAGCTGCTCTCCCTGCAATGCCTTGTTCCGGCCTTGTAGCTTCAATGCCCACAACGAAGGGATGGATATGCCTCAAAGGGGCCGTAATCGGAGTGTAATGGACACATTACACTTGGTGCCTGAAGATGTGTGCCAAGAAGCAGGAGCATTGACAGGAATCGTTGCCTTGAGATCTTGGAATCGAGCTGGAGTGGATGCTCAGAATGTGGACGCCCAGCCGAAGGGGAAGAATGGGATGAGGTTCTCCCGAAGTGCCCTCAAGATCTTGAAAGATTGGATGGCCGAACATCGCACTCATCCATATCCCACCGAGGAAGAGAAGGCCGAGCTAGCGGCTAGGACTGATCTTTTACCAGCTCAGATCTCTAACTGGATGGCCAACACCAGGAGAAGAACAAAAACCAAACAGCGAGGGGTTTCCCCAAGTATCAGGTCGCCGATACCACCGTCACTATCACAGTCACCAAGCTCTGCCATCAACATCCGCCCCAACGCCGATGGTATCACGCATAGTACCAAATGGGAGCGCATGAATCCCCTAGAGAGATGGAAGCACTCTCCTCCTGAGAACGAACCTGCAGCAGTTGCTGATATCGCCACCGCCGTCGCTCAGTCGTTCTACCAGCCCTTCGAAGTTGGTGAAATCGCACCTATTAGGCAGGCGCAACTCGATTCCACCTCGAATGGGTCCACCAGTCTCTCTAAACACCGTCCCCGATCCACTACCTCTCATGGAACCGGACCCTCCTGGTCTGCCCTCTCCAGTGGCTCCCACTCTAGATCCCACGGTTCGGGGTCCGCCTACTCCTATGGCTCCCGCAACTCCTTCGGCAGCTTCGGGAGCGGCATCGCGAAGAAAGAACGCCGCCGACGCCGACGCCCCGCCACCAAGCCCCTCAAAACCAACGACGAAGATAACCGCCCCTTCCAATGCACCTTCTGCACCGACAAATTCAAATCCAAATACGATTGGACCCGCCATGAGAAATCCCTGCACCTTTCCCTCGAGAAATGGATTTGCGGGCCCCTCGGCGAAGTCGTCACCGATTCCGCCACCGGCGTCCACCGCTGCGTCTACTGCGACACTCTTAACCCCGACCGTGCACACCTGGACACTCACAACCACCGCGCCTGTGAAGAAAAGGGGCTAGAGTCCCGCACGTTCTACCGAAAAGACCATCTCCGTCAACACCTTCGCCTCATGCACGGCTGCAAGCTGATCCCCTCCATGGAGTCCTGGAAATCCGAAAACGGCAACGTCCGCTCCCGCTGCGGCTTCTGCGACCTGTACTTCGAATCCTGGTCCGCACGCAACGAGCACCTCTCCAAACACTTCCGCGCCGGCGCCAAGATGGTCGAGTGGAAAAGCTGCCGCGGCTTCGACTGCCATGTCGCCGCTATGGTCACCAACGCCATGCCGCCGTACCTCATCGGCAACGAGTCTATTTCTCTCAACCCCTTCAGCGCCACCACCAACCCCACCACCCAATATCACCACGCGAGCAAGGACTACATCCCGATCCACATCGACGGTGTCGCATATCCCATGGAGGGCGCCTTCCCAGAGGACTTGGGGATGCCGACTAAGTTCGCCTCCACACCCTCGGGGACCACCGGGACTGGCCACGCGTCCGGCTCGGGATCGGGCTCCTCGCCCGCCAGCGGGTTCCGAGACGCGCATCTCCAGCCTATAGCGCAGCGCGGGGTGCCGCTAGGTGCGACGTGCTGGGAGATCCTAACGATACGGCTAGGGAAGTTCGTGCGGGAGATGCAGATCGCCGATCCCGGCGTGCAGTTCACGGACAAGCTGCTGCAGAAGCAGGCGCGGTTCATCCTGTACGAGGAGGAGGATGATTGGAACCAGACGCCGGCGGACAACGAGGAGTGGTTGGAGTTGTTCAAGAAGGCGCATGGGTTGATACCGGGGACGTTTGCGCAGGAAGATTGGTTGGAGGACTTGGGAGCGGAGGCGGAGGAGCTGAGGTTTGATGGCGTATTTGACATGGAGGGGTTCGGTGACGAGGGGAATTCGTTTGCGATGTCTTAGTGAATGGAGACTGGAGAAGTACGAACGCGATTCGATGACATCGTTTCAACACCATTTCGGATGCCTCCATCATGAGTTATGAGGCTGCATTTTCGGGGTTCGTTTCATAGCAGGGAAAACAGTCAACGTAGTTAGGAGCAAATGGACGATGGGATTTCAACATGCTTGCTATGGATTCACTTCACAGTTCAGGGGATCTTCAAGGCACCAGTCACTGTCAGTGTCGTTGTCAGTCAGTCCTTGCATTTGCTGAAGTCGCCGCGATTGCACTAATAACTAGAGCGGTGTCTGTTTGTAGTTGCAGTCCCGCGATGTCTGCACCAGATCGACTGCTGCAAGTATTTCTTTCTGACTATCCCCTTCTCACTTCGCGCTCAATTCCACTTACTCATCATCTTCTGTTTGACATTCCCCTGGCCTCTGAACTACAGGATTCTTCAAATCTCCTGCAATTCTGCGAAATTATAATTGACTGCAGATCTTCATTCCAGATTTATTGAACTTGTCCACATTTCTTGCTGCTCCGTTTTCAAAAGTCAATTTCTTCTTCTGCTGCATTCGGCAATCGATGCACCGACACTCGGTGCTTCGTAGAAACTGGAAATTCATTCTCTAGTATTGTAGAAAATATTCGACCAGCGGAAATCTTTCTGGCACTCCGTATAAACCCCCGACATCATGGCGGCTTTGCTGCAGCTCATAAGCTCATTCCCTTCTCTACGATTAGACGCGCCGGCATTTCAACTTGCTGATTCACACAGTCGCCGCTCGCCACGCGGATCGTTGCACCAATCTTGTCTGCTCGGCAGGATATTCGCAAGAGGTGTGCCACTGTTGCCACTGTTGCCATAGTGTGGTCCGTTCACGTACTTTACTACTTTTCCGCCTTGCGCCATCCTGGCTGTCACAATATGCCAGTCGGAATAATGCCTTTGTAGAGAGTGTTCGCCTTTTCCGATTTATATATCAATATGTCCAAGACTTCAAAGACGGGTGCCGTGATTTAGGTGTTGAGGAGCCGTGAAAACCCTTGAATTTTGCGATGCGTAGTCTTGTCATTTTATACTGCTAGATTTGGCGATTCGCTGACCAGCAACATCGACATGGAGAAGGAGTTGGGTGTACAGCAGGTCGTCAGCACCTGAGTTGATGATGGAAACCTGGACAATCCGAACGAGTGTAGGTGCCTTGGCGACCAACTGGAAGCCTGGAAGAGAATATCTTACCGTGTTGGAATTTTTTGCTTGTGCACTTGCAACAGCGTCCGATGCGATAAGTGCCCACTGAAAGCCATGTTTCTTGAGGAAACGGACGCCGATCAACAACATGTTGAGTCTGTCATTCCGATCCTCTTCGGATGTTTGATACCCCGACAATGATAGGAGGCTTTCCGTGAGACAAATAAGTTCCAATCTAGCTGCTCTAGTCAATTACGAGGCCTGCACTACGAGAGCAGTGCCCCTGGTCATCTGCACAACTGACTCTGTCCCCGGGTACTTCCGAAGGCCAGTTCATCACTTCCAGAAGATGAACGAGAATAGTAGCTTTGTTAAGCTCCTCATGGCAACCGATCTTCCTGAACCTAGGATGGTGGATGGTTCGCGAGTGACCAGAAACTGGTGTGGGTACTGGGACCGGTCCTCATTGCATGCCCATTCCAAGAGTGCGCCGAAGTTTGGGTCCTCTAATCCAGATCCGCAGCCAACAAACAAAATAGTGTGGGTGTTCCAGAGCGTCCTCAGCACGGTCTTAATCTCTGAGCATTGGACCTTCTCGTAGTCCGTGGCGTCCAATATGATATCCGAAGGGTCGTGGTAGCTGCCGTGTACATGAAGAATTCCCCGCAGATCTCGACTTTGGAACTTCAGGAGGTCGTCGTGATGCGACCGGCTGATGCGTCGCAATCTGCAGTAGCCTTCTTCAAAAAGATTATCATAGTTGGTTGTGAGAAGCATCGCTCCTCTGTCGTGGAGAGATTTCAGCACATCTAACACGGCAGGATACCTCACTTCCTTGGAAAGATCTCCAAATACAGCCTTTAGCCAAGTAGGCCATTGATGAGCCTGGTCCAGGAAAAGCTTGAGTATGCGTGCTGCTTCTAACAGATCCTCGGGATGGGAATCAAGTATTTTGCGTGCATAACTTAGCCTGTGGTGGTTCCTGTCAATTTGGCCATCTGTGACAACATAGTTCAGACCATGTCGTATCAAGCCGAGCCAGGACAACTGAGCAAGTGTTTCTCCAGACTGAGTTGCTGTTGCGCTCAGTGTCACCCCCGCGCCAATGACGATTACTAGCCGTTTGACCTCCAAAGCCGTTCTGATCTGGGCAAGGCGTTCGTTATTGATTCTCGTAGCTTCGACGAGGGTTTGAGTCTTCATGAGAACATGTTAGTGGTGTATTCTTAGCTAACCCGGTCAGACTTGCTGAGGTTGCTCCGCTCATACTTCAAGTTTGAAATTGGTGGAGTCGGCCCGATGCCTACGAGACGGAATCCATAGGATACAAAGGAAAGTATACTAAGAGACTACTCAGTCCAGTCCGAATAGGCCTTCACAGGAGGTAAAGAGAATAACATGACCAGTATAACACCTGAGGCATGCGAGATTGCAGAGATTCGAAGATGAGGAAATGGTTTAGCAGAGAGGTGTCGCGTTCACAGACAACTGTATTTGCTGGCGTGCCATTGGCCATTCTGTGTGGCGGTGCTCCATCAAGGCGGAATGGACAGTTGATATTGTAAAAATTTCAGTCAGACACGAACGCCAAATGCTCAACAGTCAAACCCTTCCAGAGACGAGTTACATAAGGTTAAGGCCTAATCCGAGTCGATATCGAGCTGGAACATAAGTAAGAGCAAGCACGACGATATAGCGACAGCTCCACGGCGGTAGCCATGGGGTATCATCGTGGCGACCTATTTTTAACTGTGGCGTCAATGTGGGCAGAGAGAGAAGAGACATAATTACATACTCTCTCTCTCTCTCCAACGTAGGATGAAGCAGAGCAGAGGACGACCGGTCATGACGCTAATGGACGCTAGGAACGCCACTATGCACAGACCAGGAAAAGACTTTTGAAAGGCACCTCCGTACGGGCTGGTGAGATTTATCCACCAGTTTTTGAGATTTATGCATCAATGGATGCATCAGGCCTTGATGCCTGACCTTCCATGTTTATGCCTCAGGCATATATGCGTGATGGTAGGGTGACCACATGCACTCGTGCCACTCCATTCTGCATCTAGTCATTCTTCGTAGCCATGCTAGTAATCACCATTTTCTTCAAACAACAAACCAAGACTACAAACGTCTAACACTGGTCCAGAAATATCCTATGAAGAGATGTCATTCCCTCAAGGTAGTCTAGCGCTTGATAGGCTATTTGGTTCTCATCTAAAGGGTATATAAACGAGGTATATTCTCTCATCACGATGGTGAGAAGTCCCTTTCCTTCCACAAATGTTGCCGATAAGATTATGTAGCTCTCAGCAATTTTTCTTGTTGCTCTAGCCCTTCATGTCCTCTCTATGGAGTCGTATCTTTGCGATAGAGATGGCGTCCCCATAGTCCCTATCAATGCTAATATCGCTGCCGGCATTGATGCAACAAGATTCTTTGTGCCTGTCACAGTGCTAATCAGGGGCATCTTCATGGTCACAGTCTATATTGACTAGCTAGTATCAGACCGAACGAAATATAAAGAAGGAAAGGAAGAAGAGAAAGAGGAGAGAATAACTCCTGCATAGTATTCGATTCACTTGTGTAACCTCGCGTGTGCTGTCAGCTATCACACAATACAAACAAATGCGGATACTTTCACCCAGCACTCGCTTCGCTGAAAATACGGTATGTATGAGTGTGGCCCTCGCTCGTCTTCTTTCCCCAAATGCCGTACCCAGGAAGTCCATGCATGGATTGAGTCAAATGAGATGCTGGAAATTTACCTACGAAATCGGGCGCTGCGGGCGCTGTCCGCGTTTCGAATGAGTCGAGCAGATAGCCAGGTACTTTTCGTTGATGGACAGCTTGACATTTGTTTTTCTAACGGTATGCCGATCCATGCTATGTTTATGAGAGAAGCCGGGCACCAGCAACGGGTAACCTTCCCCGAAGTTGGTCATGACTCGAATGCAAAATGCTTTCTGAGTCTCTGGCTGCATGCCTAATTTCTTTTTCTTTCATCCCTGTTCGCTGGTCCTTGCTTGTTCACTTTGTTGGCAGTTGGATAGTGATGATCAGCGATGAATTTGAAAACGGAAACTCGTCCGTGTTAGACTTGGAGCCGTCAGTGAGTCAGTCATCAGTGGCTCTAACGGCCCTGACTAGAAGAGGATCTACCCGAATCCTGCAGTCCCATGTTACCCATCCACATCCAATGCGGAGTGGCGAATGGCGACACGAAGCTCGACAAGCGAGCAGATAGCGAAACAGGAGAGACGCAGAGTTAACCCCCTCTTCCAGGGTGCGGGTACTCGGACTCGAACCTGGACAGATCAACACTCTTAGTCTTGCGCCGTCTAATAGGACAACAGAAACCGACCCGACTCCTCGGGTCGGGGCGGGGCGGATGCGGGAACGACGCTGATGCAGTGATAGTCAGAGTCCAGACTGAAATTGAGGAGAACAGTAAATTGGCTACTCAAGACACACTGCTAGGATTCTGGGTTAGAGAATATCCATTATCCCAATCTCAATTCTGGCTTTGCTGGGACTTGGGAGCCTGGGAGGTGGGAACCTAATACTGACTCCACAATCCACCGAGCGTCAAGCTCATATTCGAAGCTTGAGCCTCAAAACTGGCAGAGTCGAACAATTCTCCGATCCAATCTATGTAGCAGGCCCTTCATATCATGGTAACGAACGCTGTTTGAGCATTTGGACATCATCGATACCTTCTAACCACGCTGAGCAGTGCACAATGAATCTCCTCTCCATTCTCTACGCTTGTATCTTCTTTATTGGCAGCTCAGTGGCCCAAGTCAACCTTCTGGACCAACTTCCGGCATGCGCGGTATGATGTTCAACAGTTCCGGGTTGGTCAATTCACTGAACTTCAATTTTTAGGTTCAATGTTTCGAACAAACTGCCCCGTTATCACTATGTGCTCCGAGCAACATTTCTTGCTTGTGTGAGGATAAACAGTTTATGGAAGCCGCTGCGGGCTGTCAAGCTCAGGGTTGTACTGTCAAAGAGACGCTGAGTACGTCACTCTCCTCGGCCACTGAACCCAACTGCCAGAAGACAAGGACCATGAGCTTACTTTGGAAACTTAGCATCCACCAGAGCCACAATGGCTGCGTGTGGTGTTAAGCCGAGAGATCAATCCGATATCGTCATCGCAATTCCGGCGTCATTTGGTAGCGTGGCAATCCTAATGATTCTCGTCCGACTTGTCGACCGCCTTTGGGTTCGCAAGATATCACTGGGGTGGGACGATCATCTTGTTGTGATAGCCATGGTAAGGGATGAAAACTTCCCCTTCTCTATTGGACTGGGCTAACGGTCATCTCCTCTCTCTAGATTCTCGCGTTGCCTTTGAATGGACTCTGCTTTCCCAGTGAGTTTAGTCCTAACAGAAGAGTGAAAATTATCTAACAGCGTCCCAGTGGCCCGTGGTCTGGGTAAAGAATTATGGGCGATAGAATTTGGTACGCTCCGCAAGACGTTTCAGGTAAGTAGTCGCTCACTGAGGACAGGGGACTGTTCTATTCTAACCGACATCTCCCAGTACCTCCTCTTCGCCGAGATATTCTATGTGTCTTCCGAGATGTTCGTTCAGTTATCCTTTTTGGCCTTCTACCTTCGCGTTTTCAAGATCCCGGTGTACCGGAAAGTGACCTACGGGCTAATGGTGCTGGTGATATGTTTCGGTGTCACCAATACCTTTGCTATGATATTTCAGTGCACTCCGATCTCGTTCTTTTGGGAAAGCTGGGCAGCGGAGACAACAGGAACGTGTATCGACATCAATATCTATGCTTGGTTTCGCTCTGGCACCGAAATCGGTATTGATGTCGCTATTTTATCGGTACCTATTCCACAATTGCTCGAGTTGCAGATGAGTTGGAAGAAAAAGATCCAGGTCCTTAGCGTCTTCAGCGTTGGTTTCCTGTAAGTTTTCAGGTTTTTCTAACCTTCTTTCACCCAGACACGATGGGACCAAAGGACTTTCGGGATATGCTGACCATGTTTCATAGTATCACACTTGTTAGTATCTTGCGGCTACAAGCACTTATCCAATTCTCCAAAACCACCAATCCTACCTGTGAGTTGCCATATTTTCAAATAACCTCTCAGTATCAGCAGTGACTAACGCGACCTATTATCAGACGACAATGCGCCAGCTATATATTGGAGCATCCTCGAGACCGATATGTTCATCATCTGTGCTAACATGCCTGCGATGCGTAGTTTCCTCAGTGCCGTCCGGCCGAGCTGGTTCAGTAGTACGGAAAATAGTAACCCTCCTAGATCAACAGGATACCTGAGCCACGATAAACTCGGATCTCATGGGCAATATCGGCGCCAGCCATCCGACGGACATCAATCGGATGTCGAGTTGGTGGGATCGCTGTCAGAGGGCAACACCAGCAAGGTTTATGTGTAGGTGAGGGTGAAATGATCCAAAGAGACTGTTGGGGCGGCTTTCAGGTGTATCGGAGCGCTGTTCTACTTCATTAAGTTCAAAAAGTGTGCATCTCACGACATATTATTGAAAATAGAATGTACGGTGATCTGGATCACCTGAAACCTGCGTATCTGGTAGGAGAGACTAGACAGTCGATATTGCCCCCTTCTCAATGTTTTTTGTTAACCCCTTCCCAAAATACAATGGCCTAGAGATAATTTGGGGCTTTATCCAAGTGGAAGACGAGATTTGCTATTGTTGAATCCTGCACATTACATTTCCCCTAATGTACTCCGTACTGTCGCTAGCACTGCCGTCGCGAGTCAAAAAATGAGCAGAATGTGTCTTGGACACTGTCCCCGAGCGGACACCCAACGAGTCAGTCGCCACCGCACTAACATTAGCCCATCTTATTGGGTGATTCTTACTCGTCTGAGTCGACTTCAAAGTCCTGCACTCCTGCGTAAATGCGTTTTATCTGTGTGGCTGTCAGTCCCTGTCGCCCCCAGTTGCTCGGACTTTCTCCTGCACTGTGTCTAGCGAGCCCCGCTGTCGATTTATGGATAATTAGGGGGGGCCGCAAATCGCAATTCGGAACGATCAGCGATGCTCGAGACCATGCCGAGTAATTGTTGATAAATTGAGATGCTTTTCCTGCTTTGACCTTTCTACATTCGAGGTTCGAAATTGTTGGAGATTTCCCTTGGAAATCTACCATTATTTTGAATTGCCAACATTATGGCTTCCTCATGGATTATCCCCGGCATTGTCTTTGTCTTCACCACTTTGTATTATTGGTTTCGAAGGATAAATGTCGCCGGTCGCGCTCGACTACCACCAGGTCCCAAAGGCCTCCCTCTTGTTGGGAACCTGAATGATTTGCCAAAGCAGGGTGTGCTGGAAGCTCACCATTGGCTCAAGCATAAAAAGCAATATGGTTCGTGTAACTCGCCGACAACGTCTTGTAACCGGAGTCGTGAAATTATACTAAGCAATATGCTGGTGGTCTTTGATAGGCCCGATTAGCTCAGTAACTGTGATGGGTCAAACCATCGTCATCATTAACGATTCGCGACTTGCATTTGAGGTCATGGAGAAACGGTCGGCCATCCATTCATCCAGACCTAAGCAACTCTTCGCTGGGGAAATGTGTGTCGAATTGCTCTCTACGATAATTTTCATCTGAGGATAACAAAATACTAACGTCCTGGGCTCTGTCATAGGGTGGGCTGGGAGAGCACACTTGGCTTCTCCCCGTATAATAATCGGTTCCGGACTTACCGCAGGAATTTCGCCCGAATTATTGGCTCCAAGCCGTTAGCTGCACAATTCAACGACTTGCAAGAGGCGGAAGTCGGCCACTTCTTACTGCATGTACTTGACAAGCCAGAGGAGTTGGTTGATCATATAAAAAGGTCCCCCCCAACTTTCTCGCCTGTGTAAGCATGCTGGAAATTTGCCACTAACTCGTGCTGGTTTAGGGAGGCGGGTGCAATCATCTTGAAGATTTCCTATGACTATACGGCCGAATCGCATAAGAGGGACCCCCTCATCGATAATATTGGTGATGCCATGGACAAGTTCACTCAGGCTGCAGTACCGGGCGCCTTCATGGTTGACCTGATTCCTTTCTGTAAGTGACCACTAGGCCTCTGTGCTGCCTTTGCTGAATAAATAAAGTGAGACATCTCCCAGACTGGGTGCCAGGTACTGGTTGGAAGAAGACAGCGCGTGAATGGAAAGCGCAACTCATGGACGTGACGGATAGGCCATATGCGTTTGTCAAACACAGGATGGCTCAAGGGAAGACCGAGCCGTCCTTTCTTTCAAAGCTGCTGGAGAAGAGCGACTCAGACCCGGAAGAGAAATTTACCAACAAGTTTTCGGCTTTTTCCTTATACGGGGCAGGCGCAGACACAGTGAGTCTCTTTTCCGTTGTTCGCCCTAAATTTCATGGTTAACGGGGTTCTGGTTACTTTAGACGGTGTCTGGACTGGCGTTCTTCTTCTTAGCGATGGCTCTCTTCCCCGACGCCCAAAGGAAGGCTCAAGCCGAGATCGATCGGGTCATCGGACCAGACAGACTCCCTACCGCCGAAGATCGAGAGAACCTACCATATATCGCTGCCACTGTGAAAGAGGTCCTACGCTGGAATCCCGTTGCGCCAATGGGTCTTCCGCATGGGACCACAGAGGACGACCTCTGCGAGGGCTACCTCATTCCTAAAGGGGCTATGGTTTTTGCAAACGTTTGGCGAGTAAAACCGCTTTTCCTTCAAAGGTGTTGCTGCGGAATTCGATCTAACGATTAAGTAGGCATTTTACGCATGATCCCAATGTCTATCATGACCCTATGACTTTTAAACCCGAACGATTCCTGCCGGTTGATGGCCATATGCCCGAGCCCGACCCGGCTATGTATGCATTCGGATTTGGACGACGGATTTGCCCAGGCCGGATTCTCGCCGACAATACCCTGTATCTCAGCATTGCGCAGTCTCTGGCTGTGTTTAGCATCACCAAACCGGTTGAGAACGGGAAAGAAATTGAACCCGTCGTTAAACCTTTGCCTGGTGTGATCAGCCATCCGGCGCCTTTCCAGTGCACGATCAAGCCACGATCAAACCACCACGAGTCTTTGATTCGTTCCATCGAGAAGACTCATCCATGGCAGGAAAGCGATGGTCCTGTTCTGGAGAGTATGTGCTATTAGAATTTGGTATTGGGATCTGGACCGGCAAGATGTTGAACTCCTCCACAAGGAGTACAAATCGGCCCCGCGAAATGGAGGAAGCGGAAAAGGTTTACTGGCGCACTGCGATACAAGAACGCTGTCATCTAAGTATGAATTTTCTGCAGCGGTGCTTGCTCTTTGGTCTGCTTTTCGCTTGAGATTCCGGGTAGTGGAGTTCGCTTTCTTGATCTGCGATGATCTCCTCTGGAGGCCTCTCTGCTGTGCCTTGTGGATAGTTTGGGATAATTGGCAGCTCCACGATCGCGAGCCATGAGGAGCGCATTATCAAACTTCAAACTCTCAAACCATGACATCACATCGGGATACGAATGAATGGATGTTAGTAGCAAAACACAATACGAAGAACGCGTGTCCAATACTGTAGCCGATATTTTCCTCCTGTTTCCAAATTCCAATGGGTCGTTTCTTCGGGTGTTGCAGTGGCTGCAAGGCATAGTAGAGCTGTGCTAATAATATAGACGTTGTGACGTTCTGGACCAGATATTTCAGCTTGAGTCTCGCTTCATTCAAAGGATGTTTCCCCGATTTTACTGATCAATTCCATCCTAGGTGCGAGAATGCGAGAGAGGAGGGCCGTAGCATAAAGAGTCTGCCTTGGTTGTGGCTCAGCAGAGGCGGTTCAGAACAAACATGGCATTGATGGGCGAGTGGTGCAGTTATGTACCTCGACAATGATATATCGGGAAGAGGAGCCGATCGACACCCGAAACCCCGTTTTGGGATATCAAGAGCTAGGAAGGTGATGTTATTGACATCAGCCATAGCCAAATATTACGATTTACGAAATGACTCATGCTTGCCGTTTCTTGAGAGCAAGATACGAAATCGATGTCGTCGGATTGGGGTATATAAAGATGGACGATCTAGGGTGAAGGAGACTCGAATCTCATCAGACAACATCAAAGCAAACGCAAGGAATATCTCAAAGCTCAAACCTCAGTCTTTACAGAGCCTTTACATTATCTCGATGAGATTCTCGACAATCCCTCAAACCTGAACATCTCTTTCTTGAAAATGCATTACGCCTCGATTCTCAACGTCCTCACTCTCATCTTTTCCTTCACTTCTGCAGCTCCGGTCGCCGATCCTCAGCCTGAAGCAGCCGCTGCCCCCCAGTCCGACAGCGGTGGCTCTAGCATTGGAGGGCCATCAATTGGGGAACTGGCCTGGTGCTTGGTCCCATGGCACTTGATCGCCTGCAACACCGCGAACAATCTCGCGGACACTGCGGCCGCAGAAGCCGGGAATCTCTACCCGCAGAGCTCCCTCCATAACGGCAAAGGCGATGCGTTCCGCCACTGCTATTGGAACGCTCTCATGGTGATCGAAATTGGCGGAAGCGACGCGAAGAGCATCGCCGATAATCATGAGCAAGGATCGAGTGGGCGGGAGAAGGATATGGACTTGAAGAACAATGCGAGCGGCCGCAGGATTGGAAACGGGGCGACGAAGGAGGGGGCGAAGAATGGCTGCAAAGCCGCGGCGGATAATGGCGATCTGGTCGTCCTTTGATTGATGTCTACTGGATGGGTCTTGAGCCATACTTGAGCCTTTTATGCTCCATCGGATCATGTTTCGTGCTTGTTACGTTCTATTGCATTGGTCCACCCCACTTCGTCCGGGAATGGTGTTTTCGGAGTTTACCAACTTTGTCATCCCCTTTCAAGCAAGTATCATGTACCTCTCGCATCCAATGAAGGTTTCGAGGTGACATTTCTGCTCTGGTCTTGTCTGTAAGTGACATTATATGAGAGCCTCCAATGATACTTACTACCGTAAGGTAGTTCAAGATGCCGAATGCTACCTCACCAGCACATTTCCGGTCCTCTAAACACCCACTTCATTAACACCTATACTCGATGAGCAAAACCTTTATGCTAAGGATCGTAAATGAGTACCTGTAGCACTTGAATGATGTAGAATTACCGCTTTGGGATTCACTAAAAGCTCGGAAGCCCAATCAAATTACCCTCTCGGCGTGAAGCGTAAGGTATCAAATCGACTAATGAAGCACGCACACCACTAGGACAGTTCTTACCGTATATTAACAGCAGTGTGCCGGTTCGCGTGACTAGATTTCCGTCTGTTAATTAGTATTCCATAAGCTACGAAGAAAGTCCGGTATTACTAATCAATTCTTTTATTTCCTGTACAATATGAGCGGAAACATGGTAAGAACACAAGCACAAATGATAGCGTCGGTGGTAGCATGGGGCATCCAAGCAGGAACCCGCTTTTAACTGTGGCGGCAATAAGGTGAGCAGAGGGTAGTAGTGTGCTTGTGGCTCCCACTGGACGATCTCATGCACCTACGGAATACATCGTACCGAAATTCGCAAGTCGGCATCATGTTTCGAATGAAAGTCATCTAACATTCGCATGTAGTAGCGTTGAATTGTTTCCCGAAACCATCTCCTCGCGTGGGCCGTGGAAAGGATCTTAGGGGCTTTGGCAAGCCCCCTATTCCGATCCAGGGAGTGGAGAGTAGATCAGCACTGTGAGTTACTTTACAATGCATCCTGAATTACACCGAGTTAACCGCTTCGCAGTGGGAAGAGAAAGGCATCCCTTGGTGAACCATCGCGGTCCTCGAAGAGACAGTGTCCGAATTCCAATGAGATCCTGGTGCCCTGGGTGGCTCGACCACCACTGGACGACTGCGTCTGGAAAACAGACATGAATCAACTATGTCCCGGGAGCTTCCTTGGTCGGAAGTGTGCGCGAACAGTTGTTTCTATAGTATTCACCTTTATCCTCGATACGCGAACCCAGATGTAAGTCGCTTCTACTATCCGCAGTCAGTTCATGAGTAATGTGGAATCCCTTTAGAATTTCGACTGCGATCTTCGATCGTGGCCCCATGTGGATACCTTCCGCGACGGTCCTGGCTGTCGACTAGGGACCTGGCGTTACTCGTTGATCCATCAGTGTTTCGTATGCAAAAGCTTGAAACCTACGGGCAAGATCGAGTGTCCTGAAATGGGGGTTTGCCCGAAATCTCACCGCCGCCAGGAGCTCATGAACACCATGTGGGACCGGTTCTCAGCTCATGTTGCGATGAATAATGAACGTTAGATGGCCTGTCAGTTCGAGGCAAATGCTAGTCAAGGGACGACGGAGGATCTCAATCCAGCCGATCGAGCCAAACGCGCAGCACGACGACGATGACTGGGAGATGTTGTCGAGAACCTGTTGTGGAGGGCGAGAGTCGGTCCATGGGTTGTTGGTAGTTCTTGTTGGAGAGATTCTGCGGACTCATGTCGTCGAACTATGGCAGTTCTATTCTGGTGCGGTTGATAGCGTGGATGGATACATGTCCTGATACTATGCCCGCATCGGGGACATTCGACAGTTGTCCTTGCGGTCATCTGCCGTCCATGAAGAGGAAGGAGAGAAGAAAGGCGAAAGGAGCGGGTTGTTCTGGCTACGATGGGCAATGGATGTAGTAATCACACGTTTCGAATCAAGTTCGCTCAACTCGCAAGCCAATATGCACGGTTGGATGTGATCTATCTCTATTGATCTCCCTAATTGTACAATGCCCGGGGCGATCTATGCTCAGGCGTTCCTGAATTGTGCATCTCTATTCGCAATCCCCGCCCGGACTGCCGATCCAAAAACGGTCGTTTCTTCGTCCGATCCCTCCCCAAGCGCCGATGCCTACCGATAATAGACCGCTGCAACCAGCGGAGTGATTTCCCCCATCCTGACACCCTCCCTAGCCATCGCAGGATAGGGTTCTTCCACGCGACGCCATAGCCCGGTCGGCGCCGGTGCCATCATGCGGCTTCCGATGTTCTTCATGGTGTGACAAGCCCAGTGTCCATCACCGTTCATCCCAGGTTATCGTTATTCAACGCCCGCTTCACCTTCCGGCACTTCACTTTTAGCAACCGCACGCTCTCCAAAAACAGTTCATCGCTCTCCAACTGCCCCGTGCTCTCGACGTGGTAGATGAAGTGATCCTGGATCCGCCCCAACTTCACCTTATCCTTGAACTCGTCGTGCCGCAAGCACTCCCGACTAACCGTATCCTTCATCGGGTCCGCCACAATCGCCTTGAACTCCCCCTCGTGGCCCTCGTAGCCACTCCCCTCTCGGCTGGCCTCCTCGGCGGAGACGCGGTCGAGGGCGATAACGCCGCGGGGGAAGCAGCGGGCGAATTTCTTGGCGTCGGCAGCGAGGATGGGGCGGAGGATGCGGATGTGCGGGAGGAGGCGGTAGGAGGCGGTGGCAACGGGTGAGAATTTGGCGTGGTCAGCGCCGATGCCTTTGATGCAGCGGAGCTCCATGTCGATTTCTTGGCCGGGGCGGAGTTTCGCTATCAGGATGTCGGGGTTAGCGGAGACGACGGGCACGCCGTTGAAGCGCTGCTCTTGTTGGCCGATGGGTTCGAAGGTGAGGTGGTGGGCGTAGACTGGCGTCATGGATTAGCGTAGTTCGACATAGAGTAACATGCTTCATACCATTGGAGTCGATGTAGAGCTTCTTTGGGTCCGTCTCTCCCCGTGCTGCCAGATCTTTCCCGTTTGGTTGCCATTTGCACCGCACCTGGAGCTTGAGGACCACCGTATTATAGTCGTTCTCTTCACTGAACCCCTTTCTAAACCAATGTAGCCAACGCAGTCCCTCTGTGGAGCCTTTGAGAGGGATCAGCCCCAGACGATGCGCCAGGACCTCGTCCTGGATGATGGAGGTGTTGTTGAAGATGTAGACATTTTCGATGGCAAGGGACGGAACCTCTGCGATGAGAATCCGGCGGAATGCGTTGGCGATGGAGGCGTCGACTCCAATGAGGGAGAAGGAGGAGTCGTACGGCTGGTTGGTGTGGAACTTGACTTTCAAATTCTGGAAAGAATCAGCCCTGTGTCTGGAAATGGCACACAATTGGTACATACCTGATTAAACTCCTCCAGGTTCCAGGAATTGTCCTCTCCATAGTAGTGGCCGGGGAAGTCGGTGGAGGTGATATTGCTAACAGTCTCCGCGTTGACATTGACGATCTGTGGCAGTTAGACATTGTATATCCAATAGGGCGTAGTACCAACCTTTCTCTCTAGAATCTCTTCCTCATTTGCCTTCACCATGGTGCCTTCCGTAGTATCTTCCGTGAGATCTTCCGTGGGATCTTTGGTGGGATTAGCAGGGCGAAACCATTGCCAGTTGGAGGGGATAATTTTCGTGAAGAACGACATTGTCAATGCGGAAGGAACGATCGGAGCAGTCCACCGAGAATGGTTTAACCGAAGAATAACCGTTGCTGGAGCCTCTCCGCCTATGACAACCTCAACTTTGGAAATCCATGAGAAGGAACAAACAGCAGACAAGGCCAACTGTGCGGCATTGAATCTCGCCCGTCGCGTGCAACACATTTCGATTCACCTTCGGGCTCCCTCCTACGGACAGTCATCCATAGACAACTGACTGTCCCTGCCCACCATGTCCGCTTCCGTCACCCGTGCTGCCCGGCACACCGCGAAGCAGCTCAGCTTGCGACCAAAGCGAGCCCAATGCCACTCCATCCTCCGAAATCAATTGCGAAGCATATCCCACACCTCAAGAAAGCAAGCCGAGCTATATGGCCCGACTCGCTTGATCGCCACCGATGAACGCTTTGTCCCACCTGCCAACGACGCCGAGGGACCTCTACAGGGCGCTGCCGATCCTGCTGAACAGCTGGAGGGACGAAAAGTCCGCCATTACACCGTCAACTTTGGGCCACAGCATCCGGCCGCGCACGGCGTGTTGCGGTTGATTTTGGAGCTGAATGGCGAGGAGATCGTGCGGGCGGATCCGCATGTCGGGCTGCTCCATCGCGGCACCGAGAAGCTGATCGAGTATCGGACGTATCTGCAGGCGTTGCCGTATTTCGATCGGCTGGACTACGTCTCGATGATGACGAACGAGCAGTGCTACTCGCTTGCCGTGGAGAAGCTGCTGAACGTCGAGATTCCGGACCGGGCGAAATGGATCCGAACGTTGTTTGGGGAGATTACTCGCATTCTGAACCATCTCATGTCGGTCCTGTCCCACGCAATGGACGTTGGCGCGTTGACTCCTTTCCTGTGGGGCTTCGAGGAACGAGAGAAGCTTATGGTACGCACACGGGGGATCTAGGTCAACGATCAACTGCTAACCGCATCCAGGAATTCTACGAGCGTGTGTCCGGAGCTCGACTACACGCTGCCTACGTCCGACCAGGTGGCGTCAGCCAGGACATCCCGATCGGCCTCCTGGATGATATCTACCAATGGGCCACCCAATTCGGCGACCGTATCGACGAAACCGAAGAGCTCCTGACCGATAACCGGATCTGGATCGGCCGCCTCAAAGGCATCGGCGTAGTCACCGCTGCCGAAGCCCTGAACTACTCGTTCACCGGCCCTATGCTCCGCGGCTCGGGTGTGCCGTGGGACATCCGCAAGTCGCAGCCCTACGACGCCTACGACCAGGTGGAGTTCGACGTGCCCGTCGGCGTCAATGGCGACTGCTACGACCGCTATCTCGTCCGTATGGAGGAGTTCCGCCAGTCGCTGCGCATCATCCATCAATGCTTGAACAAGATGCCGCCCGGCCCGGTCAAGGTCGAGGACTACAAGATTTCGCCACCCCCGCGCGCGGCTATGAAGGAGAATATGGAGGCGCTGATTCATCACTTTTTGCTGTTCAGCAAGGGCTACGCGGTGCCGCCGGGTGAGACGTATAGTGCCATTGAGGCACCGAAGGGGGAGATGGGAGTCTATCTGATCAGTGATGGAACTGAGAGGCCGTATCGATGCCACATCCGCGCACCCGGGTTCGCTCATTTGGGGTGCCTGGATCAGTTGTCAAGAGGGCATCTTCTGGCTGACGTGGTGGCGGTCATTGGCACGTCGGATCTGGTACGTGTCCGTCCTCAATATTCAAGTGTTTTACTAACGTTGTCTAGGTGTTCGGTGAGATTGATCGATGAAAAGGTGGTAGAGGACTTGATTCCGTGGCTTTGTAAATACACTTGCGACATTGGCGTCTGCCGGATGGTGACCTGTATAACTATTCGACGGGTCGCCAAATAGCGAACATCTTCAACGTTCATCCTCGTTCTCTTCCTTCGCGAACAGTTTCCCGATCGCTTCAACCGTGGTATTCCCACCACTAAAGACCACACAGATATTCCACCCCTGCTCCCCCCCCTCCTGCTCCACCCGTCGCCGGAAGTCCTCGTTGAACAGCACCACCGCAAGCGGCACCGCCGACGACGGCTCAATGACCACCTTCATCCGCTCCAGTACCAACCTCATCGCCGCCAGGATCTGCCCCTCCGTCACCGCAAACACCCCCCCAACCTTCTCCCTGTCGCTAATCACACTCCACGGATACACCCCCACTGGTGTCCGCAACCCATCCGCAATCGTAAGCGTTTTGACTTCCGTAACCCGCTCCGGCGGGTCAGCAGCGAGTCCTCTCCTCCCATCATCTCCCCCCTGAAACGACGGCTCGGCTCCAAACACGCGGATCCCCGTCCCAGATAACGCGGTTGCAATCCCCGACAGCATCCCCCCGCCCCCCAGCGGCGCAACCACCGCGTCCAACTTCCCCCCGCTCCCCGCGTCCAACATCAAACCCACCTGCTCCTCCACCTCCAGAGCCAGCGTCCCCTGCCCAAGGATAATATACGGATGATCATACGGCGGGACCATTGTCGCTCCCGTCCTTGCCATCACCTCCGCCGCGACGGCTTCCCGCTCGGGGGCCGTGGAGCCGCTGAAGACGATCTCGGCGCCGTGGCTGCGGGTGGCAGCGATCTTGTTGGGCATGCTGATGCGCGGCATGACGATGTAGGCGGGGGCACCGCGGCGCTTGGCGGCGAGAGCGAGGGCGGCGGCGTGGTTTCCTGAGGGGAGGTGAGATTTGGGAATATGGCGTGGACAGACAATTGGGTAGAGGGGTTCAAATATAGGAGAGAAGCATAGGCAGAAGCTGGGGAATTGAATCGATTAGTAAAATACCTGAACTATGCGTGACCACCCCCTTCGCCAACTCCTCATCTCCCAGCCGCTGCAAGAAACTCGTCGCCCCACGCAGCTTAAAGGCGCCGATCGTCTGTAGATTTTCGCACTTAAAAAACAGATTAATTTTTGGACGAGCCGGATCTCTCCCTATCCATTCCGTTCTCGCCAACGCCTCCGCAGACTGCGGGGTGGAGGCGAGGGCGGAGAGGGTGGTGCATGTCAGGATGGGGGTGCGCTTGATGAAGTCGCGGATGAGGAGGTGGGTTTTTTGGGCTTCGGAGCGGATGAGGGGGGGGAGGGTGTCGACTTGCACCATCTTTATTATTTACATTCAAATTCGAAATCTATTGGGATCTATTCGTGTAGATAGGAATTGGATTTCGCGATGGCGACATTGACTGATCGTGGATGGAGGGACATTCAATTTGATAGTGAGGTGTCAAGGCTGCAAGACCCTGGATATTTCAGGCATCCAGTCTCATTTCTTAGCGTACCAAACCCCCCTGTAGAAAAAGTTGCCCCCAGCCGCGAAAACTCCAGTTGCGCTGTTAAACATCGATATCTGGAAACTTTCCATCACCAGACTTCCTACCATCTACTATTCACTCGAGTAGAATTCATTCACTCGATACCCAGTATTCTTTTCTCGACGTTCTTTCATTGATTATCGTCATCTAATTGCCTCTCGCTTGACCTTCCCTCCACCTCCTTTCCTCTCAGGTCGCCGATATGCATCGAGCATTATCGCGCTGCCAGAGTGCAGGAATTACCTCTGCACTCCTTCGCAATGTCCGAGTCGCGCGGATAGCCGGGCTCCAACGTGTTGCTGCGGCACCGTCCACTGCTTTCATCCCATCCGCATCACGATTCCTCCACATCCAACAGTCATTGAGACAGACCGCCGAGGCGACGAGGTCGCACGAACCATCGGTCGACTACCATGGACCGATCTCCCGCTTCGAAGAACTCGGGGAGCGGGGCATGGCGCATCCGGCCATCGTGCAGGCGTTGACCAAGCAGATGGGCTTGGAGAACATGACGGACGTGCAGGCGGCGACCGTGGGCAAAGCGTTGTCGGGCATTGATATGTACGAACTCCTTGCTGGCAGTACTCAAGTGGATATGAACTGACAATCAACAGGGCCGCGCAGGCGAGAACCGGAACGGGCAAGACCCTCGCGTTCCTCGTGCCCATCCTCCACCGCATCATCGAAGAGAACCCGGCGCTCGCAGCCCGGAGCTCGCACTCCCCGCTAGCCTCGATGGACGATTCACGCGCGCTGGTCATCTCTCCTACGCGGGAGTTGGCCGAGCAGATCGCGGCGGAGGCGAGGCGACTGACTGCTAACACGAACGTAATCGTGCAAGTCGCGGTCGGAGGTTCGAATAAACGAGCGGCGCTGCAGGAAATGCGACGAAGGGGTTGCCATATTCTAGTGGCTACGCCGGGGCGATTGACGGATCTGTTGAGCGACGAGTACTCGGGCGTGAAGCTCTCGAAGCTCAATACCCTCGTCCTTGATGAGGCCGATCGACTTCTGGATGATGGATTTTGGCCGGAGATCATGCGGATCGAGAGATTCCTTCCGCAACGCAAAGAGCGACCGCGTCAAACCCTGCTGTTCTCTGCCACGATGCCGAGAGAGGTCTTGCAACTCTCTCGACAGCTGCTGCAACCCAAGCACGAGTTCATCCAGACCGTCAACGAGGACGAAGCGCCGACCCACGAGCGTGTCCCGCAGAAACTGGTGCGCGTGGATGGATACCAGAATTTGATGCCCGCGCTCTACGAGCTGCTCCTGCAAGGAAATGAGGCCGCCAAGAACGGCGGACGCCCCTTGAAGGCCATCGTCTTCTTCAACACCACCGCGGAAGTCGAACTCGGCTTCAGCATTTTCCGCAACCTCCGCCCGAAGGACGGCCGGTCGCCGCTCGCGCCCGCCCGCCTCTTCGAAATCCACTCCAAGCTCTCTCAGTTCCAACGCACCGCCGCGTCCGAAGGTTTCCGAAAGGTGGAATCCGGCATCATGTTCTCCTCCGACGTGTCGGCCCGCGGCATGGACTTCCCGAACGTCACGCACGTCATCCAGGTGCGCTGCCCCCGATCGACCGATACCTACATCCACCGCGTTGGCCGTACCGGGCGCGCGGGGAGGGAGGGTGAGAGCTGGGTCATTACCCCGAAGACCGACACCGCCATTCGCGGCACCCTGAAGGGCCTTCCGGTCAAAGCCGATAACTCCCTCGGCACCGCCACCCTGGACATGAAGCAACCCGCCGAACTTCCCAAACTCCAAGCCATGATCCTCAACGAGATCGGCGAAGCCAGCCGCTTCGTCGGCATGACCCAGAAGTCCTCCGTCTACACCGTCCTCATGAACATCAGCCTCGACAATTCGCGCGATATGGAGGCCGGCGTCCAGGAGATCGTCGACCTGAGCAAATACGGCTGGGGCTTGCGATACCCCCCTGCGCTCTCCCGGTTCGTGCTCGGGAAGCTGCCGAGAGGAATCGACGTTTCCACCGTGTCTGGCCCGGCGACGCCAAGGGAGTCGGATGACCGCTCCTCGTTCCAAGACCGGCGCGGTGGGTCGCGCGGCGGGTTCGGGGGTCGCGACGGGGGCTCGCGCGGCGGGTTCCAGGACCGCAACAGCGGATCGCGCGGTGGGTTCAGAGATCGCGACGGCGGATCACGCGGCGGGTTCCAAGACCGCGGCAGCGGATCGCGCGGTGGGTTCAGAGATCGCGACGGCGGATCACGCGGCGGGTTCCAAGACCGCGGCAGCCGAGACTTCGGCAGTGCATATGGGTCGCGCTCCAACGATGCCAGTGGCGGCTTTTCCCGCGGGGGGGATGCCGGCGAGCGGGGCTCGTTCCCGCCGCGAAACAACGACCGGGGTGCGTACCCGCCACGAAGCGATCGACGATCGGATGGCGGACAGGGACGTGGTCGGGATGGCTCATCGGGCGGGTCGCGGAGGTATGAGAGCGGCGGATTGTTCTGAGCCGGGGTGAGGCTCGAAAATGCATGAAATCGTCTCTGGCCACCGATACCCGCTACGGCCGATTGTCATCTGTTCTGCATTTTGCTTCCATTCCTCGCTATAAGGCGCTTCTCCTCTCCAGTTTGGCGTTGTAAGGACGTGGGGCGATTGGGCTATTTGAGTATCTACAAAAGTCTCGGAGTCATGGGCATTTGGAGGTGCATACCACGGGTTGATTTGTGTGCTTGTGTAATATATATGTGTTAATAGATGGTTTGATAGGGGCCTTTTCGAACCGCGACGGACGGAATCTTTACTTCTTTCTTGTCATTAGCTCGGCCTATATATTTATAGCAAATCTGTTATTTCAATGCTTCCCTTTCCGCCTGCATACGTGATACCCCTGAGTCCAGTCATCCCGTATTGAACAGCTTTGATAGAAGGTTCTGTGGCCGAAGTACTCGTTAAATGCTCAGCAAATATGATAGACCAGCCAAATCACTTCGGAACCCTTGAACTTTCATTTCATCATTATTGCAGGTAACGATCCGGAGTGGAAGAATTGATAAGGTTAAGAGGCGTATACGCTGGAGGCCAAACTCTCCCATCTTTGCCAGGTATTACCTGTTGAAAAGATATAATTCCTTCACACCTTCTTCAGCATAGTAAGTCGAGATCCTCCTTTTCGCGAGACTAGTGTCCGTCAACAGCGATAGCAGACGAATCAACCTACTCGAACGTCACCAGATTATACGCCCCTCCCTTCTCCACCGCCCTCTTCCACGCCGGCCTCCCCACCACCCTCTGATACCACCCTTCCACCTTCGGATACCTCTCCCGATCATAATACCCCCTCGCCCTTGCCACATCCGCACCCCAAATCATATTAAAGTCCGCCAACCCGAACTGTTCCCCCGCGAACCACGGCCGCTCCTCCGACAACGTCGCCTCCATTAAATCATAAATTGGCACCAGATCTTTCTTCCAATGAGCCACCACCGGGCCCGCTACTGCTGCTACCGCGGGCGTCATTTCGAAGGCTAGAGTGAGCAACACCTTTATCGCGAGGGTGGCTTTGGCGAACTCGCGGAAAAAGAGGTCCTGGCGGTGGTCGGCGGCGTTCGTCGGATCGTACATCCCCTGGCCGTAGGTGTCGTGCAGCCATTCGAGGATGAGGCGGCTTTCAGCGAGGAGGGCGGGGTGGTGGGGGAGTTGGGGGAAGGGGGAAGGGGCGCCCGGTCCGTCGAGGGTGAGAACAGGGGATTTGCCGAGGGGGGAGACGGCGCGGAGGGCGGAGAGTTCGGTGGGGTTGTTGCGGTGGTAGATGTGGAGGTGGTAGTCGAGGCCGTGGGCTTCGTGGAGTTCTTCGAGCATGAAGAGAATGCGGTGGGATTGGGAGGAGGTGAGGTGGTGGAGGGTGGGGATGATGGTTTGGGGCGCCATGGTCTCTAATAGAAGCGGCTCTTGTTCCATTGCACCTCGAATAATGTTCTTGGGGGATTCAATCGGCCTTTATCACAACTCATCAGGTAGGATTCTCTGCACGAACATAATGATCAACGGACTAGGGGCCAAAATCTAACGCTGAACAGTCACACAGCTGCTTTGAAATCCAAATCACCCTGGTAGCTCCAACCTTTCATCAGAGATCCTTTACGTCCATACGGAAGTAGACACAGAGAGAACTTGAAAAAGGAAGTCTAGTCGATACGTTTGGGTGAGAAGGAATCTGATATGAATACTGTACCCGAGGGTCGACGAAAGAGCTGGTCCGGGGGATGGAAACAGACTCATGAAGTCGAAACTCTCAACCGTTATCTTCGTTAGTTCTTTTTACCTTAAGCTCCCTCTCTAGAGGCATAGGATTCTCTGCTTATGTAGGCTAGGAGAGGATATCAAGGTGAAGGACTAGTCGTTGCAATGGATGTGACTCACTTATGAGTCTGTCAACAGCGATGTGGCTGAGTCTGGGTGGGGAATGCCACACACCAGCCAACGATATCAAAGAGAGTGTAGTGTGGCTTGACCGCCGAGGCGACAGAGAGCCAAAAATTGGCTGTCCATCAATGACATGTTACTCATATCGAGCCCAATGACTCACGACTAATTGTCAATATATTCTGGATGGTCCAAAGGTGTAACTCTGTTGTTTCATCCCTCTCGAGCCTCCGATAACTTGTGGGAGCATACAGTAGCCTTGTTCCTCTAATTTGGCGTACCAATCCCCACCACTTTGCAGCTACGCACAAAATCCACAGCTCAACCCCTTCCCCAATTGGGGATTGAATCTTCACAATATTTCCCCGGGCGTTGAGAGCGCGCTGTATATTCCGATTCCGACCTACCACCGTCAGAATGGCGCTGAATGCGGCATCCCACAATATCCGTATGGCCGATGAATCACCCACTCGGAAATCTTCCAAGCTAACCCATGGATTGAATAGCTGGCGAAAAGACCGGACCGATCACCGGACAACCTCCTTCTCCCTCAAAGGAAACCTCCAAGTCGATACAAGAAGCAGCTTCAAAAGATGCTACCGGACAAAGCACTCCAGGTCGCGATGGCGGGGATAAGAAGGCCGAAACGAAGGTGAAGTCGGAGAAAGAACGTCAGTATCACTGGCAAACACATCGTTGCAGCGCGGAGTAGCTGATATTCAGACAGTGGCCAAGGAACGAGCGAAGGCAGAAAAGCTGAAGAAATTCGCGGAGAAGCAGGCGAAGCAGGCGGCAGCTAAGGCGGCGGCTCCGTCGAAAGAGAAGGAGAAGAAGAAGGCGGAGAAAGAGGCGCCGTTGCCGGAATATGTTGAGGAGACCCCCAAGGGACAGAAGAAGATCCTGAAGCCTCTGGACGACGTCTTCCACAAAGCGTATATTCCCCGCGTTGTCGAGTCGGCCTGGTCCGATTGGTGGGAGCAAGAAGGTTTCTTCAAACCCGAATTTGCGCCCGACGGCAATGTCAAGAAAGATGGCTACTTCGTGATCACTATACCGCCCCCGAACGTCACCGGTGCATTGCATTGCGGGCATGCTCTCGGAAATGCGCTCCAAGATTGTTTGATTCGATGGTACCGTATGAAAGGGGTGACGACTCTTTTCGTACCTGGTTGCGATCACGCCGGCATCGCCACACAAGCTGTCGTCGAAAACATGCTGTGGAGGAGAGAAAAGAAAACCCGACATGACCTTGGTCGTCAAGCCTTCGTCGAGCGTACTCACGAGTGGAAGACGGAGTACCATGAGAAGATCACCCGTGTCCTGAAGCGCATGGCCGGATCGTACGACTGGACTCGCGAGGCTTTCACAATGAGCGAAGATCTTTCCTCCGCGGTGACAGAGACATTCGTCCGGCTGCATGAAGAGGGGCTTATTTACCGATCGAATCGCCTGGTCAACTGGGATGTCAAGCTGAACACCGCATTATCGACGATTGAGGTGGACAACAAGGAGATCACCGGTCGAACACTCCTCACTGTTCCGGGTTATGAGCGTAAAGTCGAGTTTGGTGTGCTGACGCACTTCAAATACCCGATCGAAGGCTCAGAGGAGATGCTCGAGGTCGCCACAACTCGTCCGGAGACAATGTTGGGAGATAGTGGCATTGCTGTCCACCCTAAAGACGAGCGATACAAGCATCTGGTTGGTAAAAATGCGAAACATCCGTTTGTCGATCGTCTCCTGCCGATTATCGCTGATAGCTACGTCGATCCGGAGTTCGGTACCGGTGCGGTAAAACTCACTCCTGCCCACGACCCGAACGATTTCGCGATTGGAAAGCGCCATAACCTTGAATTCATTAACATCTTGAACGACGATGGCACGCTCAACGGGAACTGTGGCCAGTTCACGGGACACAAGCGCTTCGATGCCCGGTACGGCGTCACGGAGGAGTTGACCAAGCTCGGCCTGTTCGTCAAGAAAGAGGACAACACGATGAAAGTGCCCCTTTCTTCGCGCTCGAATGATGTTGTTGAACCCGTCATGAAGCCGCAGTGGTGGATGAGCATGAAGTCGCTCGCCGAACCCGCTATCGAGGTTGTCAAGAATGGCGACATCAAGATCCGTCCGGCCAGCGCCGAGAAAAGCTACTACCGCTGGTTGGAAAACATCAATGACTGGTGCTTGTCGCGTCAACTATGGTGGGGTCACCAGATCCCGGCCTATCTTGTCAAGTTTGACAGCGAAACTTCTGATCCGATCAGCAATGAGAACTGGGTTACTGGGCGTACGGAAGCAGAGGCACAGGCAAAGGCAGAGAAGAAGTTCCCGGGCAAAAAGTTTACTCTGGAAAGAGATCCTGATGTGCTTGACACCTGGTTCTCGTCGGGCTTGTGGCCCTTCTCAACATTGGGCTGGCCGAAGAACACGCATGATTTTGAGAAGCTCTTCCCGACATCTGTTTTGGAGACCGGATGGGACATTCTCTTTTTCTGGGTTGCTAGGATGATCATGCTCAGCCTCAAGTTGACTGGCAAAGTACCTTTCAAGGAGGTGTACTGCCATTCCTTGATCCGTGACTCCGAGGGACGGAAGATGTCCAAGTCGCTGGGCAACGTCATTGATCCCGTCGATATTATGGAGGGAATCACCCTTCCGGCACTGCATGACAAACTTCTCGTGGGCAACTTGGATCCAACGGAGCTCACTACGGCGACGAAGTATCAGAAGGCATCATTCCCGCAAGGTATTCCAGAATGCGGTGCGGATGCACTTCGTTTCTCATTGATTCAATACACAACAGGGGGTGAGATTTTCCCTTTGCGTGCCACCCTAACGACCGTTAGCTGACTTCATACACAGGTGGTGACATCGCTTTCGACGTCAAGGTTATGCAAGGCTACCGAAGATTCTGCAACAAAATCTACCAGGCAACCAAATACGTACTCGGAAACCTTGACGAAAACTTCACTCCTCAAGCGAAGAGCGGCAAGACTGGCAAAGAGACTCTCGCCGAACGATGGATCCTCCACAAGCTCGCCATCGCGTCAAGAGATATCAATAAGGCGCTTGAAGACCGCGAGTTCTCGCGCTCAACGCAGATCGCATACCAGTATTGGTACGACAATCTCTGCGACGTCTACATTGAGAACTCAAAGGCAATCATTCTCAACGGCACCGAGGAAGAGAAGCGATCTGCGGTTGACACGTTGTACACTGTGCTTGAGGCCGGTTTGACGATGATCCACCCATTCATGCCGTTCTTGAGCGAAGAATTGTGGCAACGCTTGCCACGGAGACCGGAGGATAATACACCTTCGATCGTCAGGGCAGCATACCCGCAGTACGACGCAGCCATGGATGATCCCGAGTCCGAGGCTGTTTACGAGCTCGTCTTGGGATGCTCCAAGGGTGTGCGATCGCTCATGGCGGAATACGCCATCCGAGAGAATGGCACAGGTAAGCAACACATGAACGATTAATGTCACGAACAGGGCTAATGTGCAATACAGCCTTCGTCCTCCCTTCCGACGACAAGTCCTACTCCATCATCAACTCCGAGCTCCAAGCCATCCGCGCCCTCTCCAGCAAAGGCGTCAGCTCCATCACCATCCTCGCCCCCACCACCAGCCCCCCGACCGGCTGCGCCGTCTTCGTCCCCTCCCCCAGCGCCGCCGTGTTCCTCGAGGTCAAAGGGCGCGTGAACATCGACGCGGAGATCAAGAAGGCGCAGACGAAGATGCAGAAGGCGGCGGACAACGCCACGAAGCAGCGGAAGCTGCTAGAGGCACCGGACTTCGAGGAGAAGGCCAGCAAGGCGGTAAGGGACGTCGAGCAGGGGCGGCTCGGGGAGTTCCTAGCCGAGCAGAAGAACTATGAGCAGAGTATTGAGCAATTTGAGAAGTTGAAGTTGGATGAGAGGGGGGCGGCAGCGTAGACGTCGCCTTGTGGGGCAACGGTTCGTGTTCTCCCACGCGCCGGGGAGAAAGTAGTGTTGGAATGGGTAGGACAGTCCTAGCGGCGCGAGATGTACAATACAGTAGTTCCCGCATCCCGGGGTACCGTACTCGAGCCAGGTATTCCGACTTGCGACATCTCCAAATCAGTGGGTGTAAACATGTGCCATGCTCACGATAAGTAAATGTCATGTTCAACCAACGCCACAGCCGCAGCGTGCGCCGGTCCGACATCCCCGGCCGCCTAGCGAGGCGGAGCCACCCCAACCCTGTGTCACTCCCGACGATCGTGTTCCACTTGAACGTCGTGGATCTCGATTATTCTCGAGATCCCGTCCCGAGCCCCGTTGCAGGGAATCGATTCTTCTGAATTCCGGAATTTTGATGTCGGTGAACGGCGAATGAGCATAGTTCGCGGAGGTGGGTTCCGTTCCTATTTGCTGGCGGATCTAACCGGTCTACGGGAACGCATAACATGACATGTGCGCCACCTTTTCGACGAGCACACATGGCGTTGGTAAGCGCGAATACATGGTATGCCACAACCGTTACGATGGCATCCGAAGGTTAGTCGATCCGCATCCCCGGGATGCGTGCTTGTCGGAGAACGTTTTGTACGGCTACGTAGAGGGAGAAGGTGGCGTACATCAGCCTTGGACGGATCTGACTGGGTAGGGGTTCTACCCTGCATATTGGTGATATCAATGTACCCCGGTCCAGTCAGGGCCCGACCATTGATAATGTGTGATAATTGTTCATCGGTTGGGCTGCATATGGCCTCAATGAGGCTGAATGAAGGCGTGGGATCGTGACCCTCCTGTTGTAGCTGTATGTGGGATCTATGCACTGCTTCGAGTGCTAGGTTGACCGACAAGTAGCTTTACAGCAATCAAGAGAGGTGCGGGTGGCCGAACTCCTGGAGAGCTCAAGAAGAACGGTTAATTGAATAGCCGGGTCACAAATTTTGACTATAAAAAACCCGTGACCCATCTATGAGCAAGATGGTTCAATCTAAGAGGCACCAGAGTCTAAACACTGCACACACTTGTATTCACGTGGACTGATAGGTTCCAAAGTCCCCATTCAAGCATGGCATACAAGGCCTGTGTGTATTCCGCCTAACTAATTTAAGGCTCGCGCACAGGATATCGATATATTTGGCTGTTGACATAACCCCGCGATCTTTCTTCTCATAATTTGTTATGTGAATCACCTCTAAGGATCAGCCCCTCAACGGACAACGTCCCTCCTCTTACTATGAATAAGAAGTCGAGTCAAGAGCAGTCCCTAAGTGGGCTTTCTCTGGTTTGCGAAGGGAGGTAAGTGTCTTGGCTCCATGTGGCGGTCACTTATGGTTGACTGACATCCGTGAAGCTCGATCTCGACCCTGACCCTCGACATGCTACCGTCGAATGCCTCGGGGAAGAAAGAAGCCTTATCGTCTCCGCAGAAGACTTCATCGTCGGTCCCTTCTACCTCTTCATTTGAAAAGAACATCAAAGACCTGTCCTCAACCCCGCCGACTGAGAGTATCGTCGGCGCAGCGGGCCCCCCGACAGAGAAGCATGCGGCAACCAGGGGTGTAGCCCCTAGACGACCAATTCGGAGCCGAGGCTATAGCCTCGACCGATATCTAAACACACCGGAGACACATGAACAGATCGCCGTGGAAATGTCGATGGAGAGTGACCAGCCAGAGGGAAGCACGGCGACAGAGCGGACCGGAGAGAAGAAACCGGGTAAGACAGGGGGGAACAAGGACAAGTGAATGGGAAATCGGTTCAGACTATCAAGGACTTCGCAGGACTTCGAGAAGCTAGGAAACCCCTTGCGGATCTTCAGAAGAGCCGGGTACATTCTTCTGGTGCTTCTAATAGGAGAAAAAGCAATGGGCTAGGGGTTTAAAATATGTTTTCCGTCAGAGGAAGAACTTGCTTTCAGGCACGCTGAATTTCTGACTCTTGTCGTCTTCGTCGTCCTATGTCGTCCTATGTCGTCGTTTAGCATTAAGAGCGCTCTCAAAAATCTTCAGCCCGCACCAATAGTGGAAGTCAAGGTGAATTCACAGCACCACACACCGTGGATGCATATCCCCAGAGGTTATACTTCGTCAGTGACGTGAAGCACAAAGTTTGAAGTCGGAATAAGTTTGTACAAGTGGCCCCACGCGGCGTGATGATCTCAGGGATCTGTACTGCGACGCCGAGAGTTTTATGGCCTCAGGCCTGAACACCTGAGATCAGCCAGAAACTGCGCAATTGATCGTGTGTGGTTCATGGCACAACAAATGTTCTTATTACTTCCTAATTCTAGTGTTCTCAAACCATTTCAGAATATCTTGCATCATGGTGAAAACGTAGCTGTGGCCATGCGCGGCGTAGCGGATGGTGCATCAGCTACGCATCGCTATCCCCTTATCTCTGGCGACATTGATGCGTAATCGCTCCGGCCTAAATCAGGAGGAGATACTACGATACCTTCTTCTCTTCCTGTCGTTAGTGAGCTAGGTTCTAGTTAGGATCGGCATCAGGTGATTAACGTGATACGGAGTATTTCAACTCTTGATGACAATCCAATATCATTTGTGTTTGATCCATTCCCAGGAATTTCATATTTACGGAATAGGGAAGGAACATAAAAGAGTTTGGCCGATTTAATATAATAATAATATAATATACAGCCCGTTGATTGCATGATGCATTTCCAGCATTGCATCACCTCCGCCATTCTTCTTGCCGCCTCCTGCTCCTCTTTAACATTTGCTGAAGAAAATCATCAAAGCCCCTTTATCGAGCCGTCAGAAATCTCCTTCGAAACCCGCGCCTTCTGGATCCGTCACGCGAACGACGCCCTCCGCTACCTCACCCCATCTCCCTGCCCCTTTGAGGCTTTCGGCACCGTCATCGTCAACCACTCCTCCACCCCCCCAGACAGCCCGCACGGCGCCATGGTGTGCATCGGCGCCAACGCCATCGTCACCGGCAACCCGACCCTGCACGGGGAAATCGCCGCCATCAACAACTGCTCGGCCGTCCTGCAGTCGGACCCGTACCACCTCTCCGCGCAGGAGGCGCTCGCCGCGTTCGCGGATCTGTCGCTGTACACGAATGCGGAGCCGTGTGCGATGTGCGCGACCGCGATCCGCTGGGCGGGGTTTAAGGAGTTGATTTACGGGACGGGCGAGGAGCGGCTGGAATCATTGGGGTGGCAGACGGTTGGGATTAGGAGTCGGGAGGTGTTGGAGAGGAGTCGGGATTTGTCGAGTAGGACAAGGTCGGTGGGGAGCGTGTTGAGTAATGAGACGGATCCGTATTTTGCGTGGCAGTTTAATCCGATGGCGCCGTGTCCCCAGGGGTGTTTAAGGGAGGGGCATGTGTGCTTTGGGCAAGAGACGGGTTGAAAGAGTTTGTAACCTGGATGAGAGTTCGCAAGAAGGAGTAGTATAATGTAGAATTTATGATGTTCATGATTTCGTTCGGGAAGAACCCGTACATCAGCCATTTCCTCCTGCTGTGAATGATACGCCACGAGCTGTAAGTCTGCTCTGATGGTCTATCATCTAAGTATATATATATATACCACATCATTCCTCGATAGCCGCGGTGGCATTGCCGCATCTTTCCGCTAGTGCATGATTTTCCAAGCTCTTTAGGTTATATTTGCACCTTTATCGGAGTAGTGTTCTTTGTACGCATCGCAGCATTAACAACCTGCGTATGAGATCGAACAGGTGTGTGGAAGAAAGAAACAAAAAACAGATAAACGAAATGTAAGAGGGCGAATAGTCCCTCTTTCCGCGCCACTACAGCCATATACGCCCGCTCCACGTCATCATAAGCAACCAGTTGCTGGCCATTAGCTTCGTGAATATGGCCAAAGACGTGTAATTTCGGCTTCGTTCGCCAGACCTCTTGCGAGAGGAATGCGCAGCCGAACGAGCGGTCCCGGTATCCCAAAGGCGGACCATGCGTGACCAGAATGTCTACATCGTCTGGTATCTGGTTCTCCCAAACGTTCTCCTCACGGGGGTATTGGAATGCCGTGTACCCGTAAAACTTCGGGCTCATCGGGCTGCCGAATACCTTCAGCGTGCGTCCATCGGCGCATTCGATGGTAGCCGACCCGTTTTGCAAATAAATCAATCCGGACGTATCCAACGTCTGCACCGTCTTGGAATAGGACCGGATTTCCGGGTCGAGGAATACGTCATGGTTACCTCCGATCACGATCTTGTGCTGATGAGGTTGCGCCTTCAGCCAGTCGAAGCACGCTTGGATCTCTTTTAATGTCCCGCGATGTGTGAGATCGCCGGCGTGGATTAGGACGTCTCCCAGTGGAATGTCAGGTTGTTGGCCGTGGGTGTCCGAAATGCAGATTATTGAGATGGGTGAAGGTGACTGTGCAGGAATAACGCGTCGGATACCATGGAATTTTCTGGCGAGGTAGGTGGTTGGGGAGCGGATCAAGTCCTCCAGGTCGTAGGGACGGAGCCTTATTAGCGTTCGCCTTAGTGTTCGTGATTGGTTTATATTTAGCATGATGAGAGACTTGTAAAGTAAAGGGAGAAAAGAATATTGGAAAGGCTCAGTAACCGCGATATGGATTTTAAATATGTCGTGTTCGTCCCTAATAATTCCCTGTAATGTTCGAATCGTGAAGGCACCAAGATTGAGTTGCACTGCCGTCTCACGACACACTGCCCCCTTCCTTTTCGCACACTCAGCAAACCACACTGTGGAATCATGAAGCGATGCAGCCGTAGACAGGCAGAAGTTCAATTATCGAGCATAATCAGAGCTCATGTTGCGAGTTAGAAGCGATAGAATTTTATGGTGGACATTGATACCCATGGCGCACATCCGTAGGTTTCGGAAATTCTAAATCATTCTAGTATTTGACCTTGGTATTACTATATAGAATGTCTCTACGCGTAATAGGTTGGTACAGCTTCCCCTTCACGTACACGGCCATTTGTCGGGCCAAAATACCCCCAAGTGCGTGACCCTTCAACCAAGGGCTCATGGTATCCCCGATTTCTGCCGAGGGCGTCACTTCGTTCAATTCCCATCATGGCGGTGATGTGCGCCAAAGTCTCAACGAGGGGGTCTCCGTACAAAGCGCGTAGACAATGTCCACGATGGGCAGCCGTAAGAGGGAGGCAGACGAATCTCGTGGGTCTGTAGCCGTCCCAATCTGGGCAACGTCTTGCTCGTGGAGGGTCGTCCGGTATGCGCCCACCTGACATTATGGCAACATTGTTGAATCTCAATCGGATCAGGCCCACGTTGCGAGATGGGATTAAATCGATGAAGCATACTCCCAGTGATCGAGGGTTGGCCGCGTCACAGGAATTGCAACACAAGAAGCGTTGGCAGGGGTGCTAGCTAGCTTTATATAACCGGATTTCGATGGGTCAATATCTGGTGATGTCTGTATCGGAATAGGCTTTCTCCCGTCTAATAATGGGGAATCCGATCTGGAGGAAGAGGCCGTAGGTGCAGCCAGCAGACCTCGAAAGCCGCAAGTTTCGCAGCGGAACGGCCCCGGGATGAAAGCATACAACCGATATCCGTCGACTCGCGTCAACGATGCGTGTATCTATCGCTTCTTATATGCTGCCTGTAATAGCGACCTGTGAGTAATTTCTCCGACCCTCACGCTTCCAACCAATGAATGGATCTCATCAAAGCAGGTCGTCATCAATGAAGTTACCGAAGACTTACCAGATAACAATTTTTGAGCCGAAGAAACTCGTCTAGACACATGTTTTTCTGTACATTCTTATAATTCGCGGTGATACAGGTTCCGTATGTCGAGCTCTATACATGTTGAGTCGAGGGCAATTACGGATTTTCTCAGGGAACATACCTCTTTCGAGCACTTCCCAACCGCTGCGGCGAATCGATGAAGAGGGCGGACTTTTGTGGACATGTTGTGCATGCAATTGATAATGCAATTCTTAATTCCTTAATCGGTGATGTTGATGTAGAGTTTGGTCTTGTCTGAGCAACGCCGAGCAATATTTCTAACTCGTTCATTAACACGTGACTTATATTGAATGCCGAACGTCCAGCTCATGGTTCAGTTTGATTTCGCAGTCTCTTAAAAGGCTGAAAATTGATGCTATAGAAACTTAATTTGCATATGGGTATCTCGCTTAAAATACATAACCGGTTGACATAAGTTTGACACCTTTTAAACGTGCCAGTCCACCCATTTTCATTCCACCGCCAATTCGACGAGTAACCGCAGCCTTTCCGCACTCATCTGCAGGGCAGCTTTCCCATCCAGTTCGATTAGCTGCTTTTTGCCTTCCCCGAGCGCTCTTTCATTCCTCGCTCGAATCCCCGTATCCACGGCCTTCTGCAGCTGCTTGTCGCATTTCACCTGGCCGGACTCCAACAACTCTATCAACAAGCGCTCGAGCACAAGGCTGACCTTTAGATTGTCGGGAGTGGTATAGCTATTGGCTGAGCATGAGAGGAACTTCTCCAGGAAAATCGAAGTGGGGACGTTGAAGACGTTCAGTTTTCTGGGGATGTTGATCATATGAGGGATTAGAAGATCGAAATGGAGAGCCCGGTGGAGTAGAGGCGTCAACTTCGTGGTTCGAAGAAGAACAGTGTATTGGGGAATCGGGAGGGGGCGCATAGATTCGGTGATGATATCCAGCATTTCGTCGAGACGCCACGCGGGAAAAGTTACATGGTCAAGTACGTCGCATATCTAGATATCAGTTAGTCCTCGAGCTTTGAACAGATATGGAAATCCTTACTAGAGCAATAAGTCGCTGCCGTAGCTGGACGGCTTCATAACCCCCCAACTCTTGCATGTAGTCCACCTCCTCTTCGTCAACATCCATGTCCGTGTCCTGGCTGGTTTCACTGTCAGAAGCCGGTTCAGGGGAATCCGCCAGCTTCTCATCGTCGCCATCGTAGTCCCCGTAATCTGCGTTTTCAATATCGATCTTCTTCAACTTTTCGAATTTCTTCGCGTCGGATTCATTCTTCCTCTCTTTCGTCTCGTTCTTCCACACTTCTTTGAAGGCCTTTTGGCAGTCATCGCTGCCATCCGCGAGAATGGCCTTCATCACTCTTCGCCATGCTGCTCGATTTTCTAGAGCCTCGAGGTAGGACACGATGACGGCTGTATCCAGCCTGCGCTCTTGATCTGTCGCCTCGGCGCTGGCCCTTTTCCTCGCGTTCCAATCCCTCTCCAGCACCTCAATCACAAACTCCAGCCAACCCCGCCAGTATTCCCACCTCTGCATCCATGCCATCGAGCAATAAAACGCCCATCCGACCACGTCCCAGAACTGCGCGGCGCGATTGAATACGCTCTGCTCGTTCGCCAGTCGATGTTTGTCTCCGATCATGCCCAGTCCATCCTCTTCTTCCTGCTCGGTGACCCCTCCGTCGAGGTCGGACCGGTGCTTTTTGAACTCGCCACTGCGCCGCAATTGGCGACGGTCAAGTCGACCGTCACCACGGGATTGGCCCGAGAATTGAAGCACCTTGTCCCATTGTAGATCTCCGACGCCCGCAACTTCGAGGTACTCCCATAGTAGAGATTGGGCGGATACGGAAACTAATAGGTTGTCGCGATTTGCCGCGCGTGTTGTGTATTGGGGGTGGACAATAAGGGTCAGGAGCAGAGCGATATGCTGTGGCGGGGGGATATATGCGGGGAGTGTGGACGCTTGAGGATGCGATTGCGAGGAGATGAGGAGTTGACGGAGGAGAGGTAGAGCTGTGGTATCTAGAAAGACAAGACCGGTTAGAATACATCCCACACGACAACTACAGCGAAATATCAACGAGATACATACAAAGTCCTTCGTCAAGATCAACCGTGACTCGCGACAGAAGTGGTCGAGGGAGATGCTTGACGACACGCTTCAGGGGTGGAGAAATAGAGAAAGATGGCATTTCGACTCATTCTAGATATCACGATTGGTAGAATGGGAGGTCACTTTAAATCAACTAATAATAGAGCGCGTCGTTGCTGTTCTTCAATAAAGTCGAGCACGATGTCGCCGACCAGAGGTGATCCCCGTCATAACAGGGTCTGTCTCATAGAACCCCTGTATGGATACTCGACGACGACGACAGCGCGATTCAGGTGGTTTCTGCATCCAGAACATTTCCTCTTTTTCTTCGAAGTCTTCAATTAACTACGAATAGCAATTTTATAATACCGGGCATTTACACCGAGGCTGTTGATGCAAAGGCTCGAAACCCAGGACCTGATTCATTCAGACCAATGCGTTTCTTGTTCAGTCCACGATCAACCTTCGATCGACCCGACAGCAGAGACATGATCTCCCTCTTGTTGGCCTCGGAGTGCTGCAACCGGGCCTACGCCTTCTTCATCTCCTCCAGCTTCATCCACAGCAGCTCCATGAGAGCCTCCTCCGGATGCATGTTGGCGCAGTCCTCACCACCACTGCATTCTCCATCCGGCTTGGGCGGCACCTTGCTCTTGCAGACCGATTGCTCATGGATCAACCTATATCGCCAAGTCTCATCGGCTTGACGATCAGCCCCCCACGGTCCGGATCCGTATAAGCCCAGGCTTTCATATCAAGAGGGCAATCCGACGACTACACGTGTTCCACATTAGGGCCTAATCAACCGATGACGGATAGTAGGAGTCTCTTGCCTCAGGATTGACATGGCGAGGACACAAGTGGGTGTTGTGCGCACAATAACGATCCCTGCAACCAATGCCGAAGAAGCTCTTGGGGCACATTATCTCCATATATTGCGTCCACGCTGGCGAACCGCTGGACGGCCGAATCGACCAGGGCATCATTGTGAAGTATTCCTCAGTCGATCCGGTACTACGAGGCTGTTAACCCAGTGCAACTCAGAATGCATATTGGAGGAACCCACGGCACGGAACCCCCCTCGGCAGATTGCTTCTGGGCAGGGGACGAGGGCTCGTCAGTGGCCCCGCCGTTATTGCTATCCTCCTCTGGGCCATCGGGATGCGAGCGGTTGAGGGCATTAAGATAGTCCTTGGTCAACATTGCTGATGTATCTTACGAACTAGGCACATAGGTGAGAAGGGTAAGTGGGGAAGGAATATGTGAGTGAGGGGAAGGAGAAGGATGAGTAGACGGGTCAAAGGAAGCGAGAGAATATGCGAGAACCCAAATCATGGGAGTTCATTGAGCATGGTAGCTGGACCGTGCTATGTATAGCAGTTGATATCACATGCGGTTTTACTACTATTCCAATACAGCAGTAGCGTATAGTATACAAGAGCGATATCTGATGGACTAGCGCGTCCTGTTAACGCTACTGTCTGGGGATAGGGGAGACTCTCGGGTATTTTGAAGTGTTGCCATCTTCGATTCACTGTATATCGACCAGAGCAGTGATCAGTCGACGTATGGATTTGTTTGAGTCTTAAGCATCTGAAGGCATTTATGAGCAATCCAAAGGGGAATAAATAGTTGAGGCTTCGTCCCGGACGTGCTCCCGCAGCCGATGGAATCGGACTACTAGGGCCCTTGGATGAGGTATTCAGGTTGTGATGGACCGTAGGGGTGGAAGAAATGGATAGAACTTCCCTTTGATACCCTCCCCGGTCACGTAAATGGAGTCAGATTTAGTTGAGATGTAATCTTATGATCCTGCCAAAGGTGATTTAGATGAACATACAGGTAAAGAAATTCCGGTGATTATCAATTTAGTTTGCATAACGCAAATCCGGTCAACTTGTTTATCGGTAGAACTAAGCGCAACAGTCTACCTAACCATCAAACCTAAAGCTAGCAAGCGGAGTAAGCCTACAGATCAGACTCCGATTCTTCCCCCTCCCCTCCAATGTGGGACCCTGCTATTGAAGAACTGCCACCATTGCTGCCTCTCAATGGTCATATCCCATTTCAAGTGGACTGACGGAGAAAGCCTACATGTCGTCATCTTCCAACCTTTGCTCCGTGCTTCAGAAGAATGTCAACCATCTGTCGCCTCCCACACTTCATCGCCCATTTCAAGGGTCCACAAGGGGAATTGACATCCGCACCATTGTCAATTAAAATCTGGAGGCATCGGACGGAACCACTCTTGACCGCATGAGTAATTGGCAAAACGTCCCGATAATATCCCGCGGCATTACTATTATCCATAGCACCTGCATCAATGAGCTGCCGCATGACCTCATATTGTCCGTGAGCAGCAGCAGCTCCAAGGGGGCTGATCCAGTAGGTACGGCTTTTGAATTTCGGATGGACCTTCTTCATCATTGCGGCCACGAACTGTTCGTGGCCACCAGCTGCACTGTAAAGCAAGCAAACAGCGTAGAGTCTGGATATTCCGTTATATGTATCCCCGTTTAACGTCAGGTCCCACGAAAGCGTGTCGTAAAGGCCGCGCTTACGGGCTAGTTTCAGGAGACGTTTAAACTCGGGCAAATAGCCACCACCAGCTGCCCCAACCAGGGCGAACTCAAAGGTTTTTTGGGTAATCGCATAGCTGAACTGGGGATCCACTAGGGACAGTAATATTTCGGGGTGGCTGGGTTTGGGGCGTTCGAAAAAGACATTGAATCGTAGTCCAGAAATACTCGTAAGATCAGGTCGTATAATGCCCCAGAATCCACGGCGAAGGAGCATTCGAACGATTGGTGTGTGACCTTCAGCGATGGCACAGAGCAAAGGGGATCCAAAAGCCGTTGGTCTATTCGTGCCGTTTTCGAGGCAGCTATAGACGATGGCTTCGTGGCCTATAAAAGAGCCAGCCGCCAACAAGTTTTGCTCTTTGCTTGCAAACTGCTGGGTAAAACGCTTTGGGGTTCTGAAGAGATTCAGTGGTGCTCCATGCTCCGCTGCCGCGTCACATAACATGCGAATACATGTCTTTCGATCCACGTCGGGATCGAAGGATATGATGTCGTCGACTGTTTGAAGAATGACACTTGATGGGTAGACGGATCCGTCCTGTAATGTTTGCCAGAGTAGATACTCTGTCAACACATATTGCCCCACCCTGTGTGGGACAATTCGTCCAGTTGAACCAAATTTTTTGTAAGCTAGAAGCCTATGCAATGCTCTAGTTGAACAAATTGCTCTAACAGTTTCGATGTTGAACCGTCCTACCCAAGTCAGCAAGTTCATATATACGGTTGACCACATACTTGAAACAAGCCGCAATGGGAACACTTCATTCAGTGTGCTGCCTCTAACAAATGTTTCTACCACCTCTCCAAAAATTTCTGGGGGCAGGTCAAGAAGCTGATTCATTGTCGCTGGATCTGCTGCTGTTCTAGGGTCCATCACAAGAAACATAGATGGAGGTTCACTCAGCGACCAAAAGAAAATAAGGGGCCCAAGTCCCAAGAACCTGTGTGCATTTTGGCGTATCCAGCTGATGATTTGATTATATGCGGGAGTGTGAATTAAATATGGCTAGGCAGCAAGATTATTGACCATTAAGTTAACTAAGTTAGCTAACTTAATTAGTCAGGAGTTCTGCATGTTGGATACCTGAAGTTCGCTGTAAACTCACGTGATGGGTAAGCGAACTCCTGAACAGAATTGCTCGATATCATCTAAAATCTCCAATTCTTTTCATCGAATCCGATGTGGTGTAACGGCTATCATCGCCCGCTTTCATTGAAAGCAGAAAATACGCTTACGTAAACCGGGCAGACCCGGGTTCGACTCCCGGCATCGGAATTTATTTTTTCTACAATTTCCAGATTTTTGGGTATTTTTTTTGGCCTTAGGGATAAAGAATTATAAGTTAACTTAAGTTAACTTAGTAATGGTATAACTAACTTAGTTATAGCATTAAACACAATGCTTAGTACCTATCCATCTGAATATCTGCATTATTACGTTTTGAATGGTTATCATCCGATCTATGCATCACCTCTTCTTCAGATCATAACCAAACCAACCCCTGAATTCTTCTCCGTAAATTCCTGTGCCAATTGCGCGGTAATAGAGCAAGCCCTAATGAGAACAATTATCACGACATAAAAAAGCTACTCGATAAGACGAGCGATGGCAGCGTCAGCTAATAATCCACGAACGGCCTGGGTGATGATAGGATCCTCCCCTTCCTCATCCTATTGATGAAACGTGATACAAAGAATCATGTTCATTGATATTTTAATCCAAGTCTATCCACAGAGGTTGTCTATCAGAGCCCATCGTAAATGAGCCTATCGCGTTCACTCATATCTGCCATCCATCCAACTCCTATCGTGACCATCAGTGTGATGAGAACTCAAGGCATCCGATCCAAATCACCATTCCCTCTCCTTAGGTAGTGACATCCACCTCGATTCCAAGAACCGGCTCGCTGAACTGCACCGCGCAAGTGGGCAACGGCACTCCATAATTCTCAAACTCTAGCACATACTCCCCGGTGGCCGTCTTATTCGGTACGATCCACCTCCGATTCAATAGATCTCCATCCTGCGCCTGATCATTGAAGTTCTGCGGCGCGAACACAATGCTCGCATACGCCTCGCTGTACAAAGTCACCGGCACGTCCTCCGCCCGCGTAAAATGATGCATCCCCAGGTTGAACCACACCACCAGATCCGTGTCGTCCACGCTTTCACCGTCGAAGAACTCCGCGAAGTCCTGCTGCGGCGCCCACGGCAGATTGACGTTCTGGATGCTGTTGCTGAACGGCTCGTTGTCATGCTGCTGGGTGACGGCGAGGTGGCTTTTCACGAACGCCGCGTTGTCGCGTGACCAGGGGGAGTTTGCGATCGAGAGATGGATGTCCGAGCGGCCGGGGACGATGCGGTAGCCGCGGGGCTGGTCCCATTTGTTGGTCTCGTTCTTGTTGAGCACGACGTACATGGCTTGGTTGTTCGGAGCCCAGTCGAACTGCTCTTCTTCAGCCTTGTAACTGACGTTCATCTTCATCTGCTCGAAGGTGCCAAGTTCGGGGAACCACGGCTGGGTGACGTTGGCGACGACTAGCTCGGATACTTGCAGGCTATTGTTCACCCCGACGATGTCGAAGTCGGCTTTGTAGTTGATGATGTGGTCGTGCAGACTGCCCATGGTGGCGTCATGGATCCGGGGGCCCCACGAGGTTTGGTTGGCGTAGTACGGGGAGGACTGGAGATAACCAGATGCGCGAACGGCGACCTCGATGCTGCCGTCGAGGTGGAAGGAATAATCGAACATGTAGTCGTAGTTGCCGATGGTGGCGATCGCGCGGACGGTGAGTGCAGCGCCCTTCACAACACCAAGGTTCGCGAAGCCGTAGTCACTGCTACCACCGCCGGTGCGGTGCCGGGCGAGAGGGAAGTTCATATCGTGCTCGAAGATGCAAATCGAGTCCGTGTTGGTGACGGTGGTGTTGGCCTCGTGGTACGAGACGTTCCAGAAGGTCGACCCGAAGGGCTGAAGAAGTCAGTATTTGGCCATCGATCACATATGCCTAGATGTTGGTCCTGGAAAGGGGATGGGGACTTACGCAGTCATATCCTTCAAGCAAAGTGCCCATATCAGTTCCGAGCGAGTAATATGTGTCATGATACACAGTATTAGCAGCCTTGGGCTGATTGCCACCATACTGTGCCAACGCTTCCTGCAGCGAAAGCTCAAAAAGCACAGTATCGCCCTTGTATTTGACGTCATGGATGGATATTCCAGTGGTCCTGGAGAACGATAGGTAGAACGTGAAACCCATGTACTCGATGTATTGTGCTTCAGGATCTACCTTGTAACGCTTCCCACCGAGCTCAATGCTTGATGGCGCAAACCGGTCCTCCAGGTCACGCTGACCCATATCGTCTTTGTGGTTAACCAAAGCCCAGTCAGCATCGAGGGTCTGTTGATAGTCTTGAACAAGTTCGCCAGCATCGAACGCAGCGCGAAGTTCGACTTCGGTTTCGAAGAAGCGCTCCTTGGTCACGAATCCCTTGAGGAAATATAGCGACGAATCGGTGCCTGTGCAGTCGATCAAGAGGTAGAAATCTATTGGTGTCAAATAGCTCGCAACGCCAGGGAGGCGGAACAAGATAGAACGGAACGATTGAGTTCCATCGAATGATTGAGGCGTCCCTGATGTGGCGCTGAGATTGGTTCGCTCATCCTCAGACCCGTAGTAGACACTTCCCTGGAACAAAGCCGCCGTGATGTCGGCGATGCTGCTCATCGTCTCGGCGATGAGAGGCTCGGTGGCAGCTGACCGGGGTCCGTCGAAAACGCGAGCGTTAAAAGGAACGCGGCCACCTTGTCCACCATTGTACAAGTAGTCAAGAGGCTGAATAGTGGTAGTCGTGCTGACTGGCAGAGGTCCAACCATGTATTCCTGGGAATCCGGGTCGGCTTTCCCACCCTGGAAGAGGATAACACGAGCGTATTTCGGAGGAGGAGGACCGCCTGCCTTGTATGCGAGCACGTCTGTCTTGTTCACAGGAACCGTGTCGATGAAATAGACGTAGTTGTCCGTCTGGGTGGCCTCTTCCGGATCCGTGAGGTTCAATCCCAGTGCCGGATCGTGAACGAAGTCCCACACCGCGCGGTTGTCCTCCGCACTGATCTGAGCCCACACGTTAGTATAGGGGGCAGTGGCCGTCTCAGCAACATCGCCGAGACAGCTCGCCGTGCTGGAGTTTCCATCTGTCCTTTGCTCCAGAGCACGCTTGAGGAGAGCACGCTCATAGCCAAGCGGAGTTCCCGGGAGGGCAGCAACTGCTGCCGCAATTGAAAGCGTAACGAAACTCGGACGCATGATGAAAGATAATTGCAGACTCGTTTACAGGGAAAAGGAAAAGTGTATCCGATTTACAGGCTGCCTTTTATAGCCTCTCGCGAAGCTTCCATCCTGGAGCTCGCTGAACTGCATATCTCAATCCCCGAGTACCTCCTTGTATCTAACAAAAGAGAGGCCTGGAGGCGAGATAAGACAAAACACAGAATAGAAAATAGTAAGAGAAATGCCATCAACTAGAAGTAGGTGCTAGGGATTACCTCTTCGGCTGCAGTGTCGTGGATAGGATTGGAGCTTGGTACTACTAGGTGCAGTTCCGATAGCTGATAGCTCTGGCGTCGTTCTGCCAATGTGACGACGAATATCACGGGCAAATCGCAGGCTAGAAATAGTCACACAAACCAATCGGAGGATATTGATTGTGCTGTATGTGCCTGTTAATCCTTTCACATGACCGTTGATTGTCGCCTGGAGGATGCAACTGCAAGCTAAGCCACGCGAACATGTCGTCGTCTCGGGGTCTCGTCCCGATATCACGGATACAGTGTCCTTCATGAGTATAGACTCAGCTGCAAGAGCACTGAGGAATGAGGCTAAGTGAATAGTAACTACGCAAGCGGCGTGGCATATCATTCTGGGGGCCTTTCGGAGGTGCAGATTCCGGGGTTTGTATCAAACGGCGGGGATCATGATTAAACAACGAGAGCCGAACTGACAGGGAGGAAACTCATCGATTGCAAGGCCATTCAAGCTGCAGAATAACTGGATAAGGGAGGTTGATATGGGCAGGGAGATCGGCAGAAGTAATAAAGATATGTGGAAGGGTGCTTATCGCTTCGCAGTTCTGTTCTTTTGATGCATGCAAGTGTGGGGTTTGCAGCTACCAGCCATCGGCGGGGATAAGATTTGCAGGATAAAAGGTATCAAACGCCTTGGGAAAATATTGATAAGATTACGAGATGTTCGAAGATGACATTACCGAGCAGGCGTGGATACATTTCAAAATGATAGAGGAATGAAAGCCAACGTCCTGAAGAGTTCGCAGAGAATGACTAACCTAATTAGGAAATGAAGATAGCATTACATGTCCAAACAACTAACCCCCTCGTCGGGAGCTGCATTATCTGATGGGATACTAGTGACTTCTATTCGGAATATCATCCGAAGCTTCGTCTGTCGGTATTCCATACCGAAAGCGACTATCAAAAGTGGACTGAGCGACTTGATTATCAATCCGCAGCAACTGGCCATCTAAAATAATGAATAATCTACATATCAAAGGGTTTGGGATGGATCGATTCCTTATCATGTGCGACCCTACAATGCGAGGAAGGATAGTAATTGAGCAGCACATTTATCAATGAGGTCATACTATACTTTTGGAACGCTATTCAGTACTCGTTGCCGAATTGCCTCATTGGGTCATTCATGAAAGAGAGAAAGGATCCTGTCAATTCTATATCGAAGAGAATAAAATCGATAGCATTCGCTAACGGCTCTTTTCGCGTTTCTTCGCAACCTTCGAATAATCCACCATCGCTCTATCCATCCCACTCAGCCTCCGCACAACCCACTGCACCCCCGCCGGCAGACATTTCGTAAAATGTACCGTCCGCGAGTACAGCGGCAGCGCGATCTCCCCGCCCTCCCCCGCATCTACCATCTTCATGATCTGTTTCGCTACATCCACCGGCTCCAGCACCGGCGCTAGGAAATTCGACGGCGTCTGCACGCCCGCGAAGAGAGGCGTGGCCATCTGCCCTGGGGTGCAGAGCACTGTCCGTATGTTCTTTGCGGATGGGTGGGGGGATTGCTCGAGTTCACCGGCGAGGGACGTGTGGAGGGCGATGAGGCCGGCTTTGGATGCGCAGTAATCGGCTGGGGATGTTAGGAGGGAAGAAAGGCAGGAAACTAGTATGTGCGGATGGGGACGTACCTAGGTTGGCGCAGCCAAGGTGCCCTAGAACGCTGGCAACGGTGACGATGGTGCCAAAACCTTGCTCGAGCATGCCGGGGAGGAACTGCTTGATGGTATAGAATTGAGACAATAAATTGACTTGGATTGTTCTGTGAAGTTGTCAGTAGGTATTCTCCCGGAAACGGAGTAGAGATTGGCTAACTTTTCAATTTCCTCGCAAGAGAGGTCCAATAGAGATTTCCCATGCATAATTCCGGCGTTGTTGATTAGAATCGTTGGCGGTCCTAGCTACTTGTCGTCAGCACCGGTGTCCAAAGAGTAGGAAATTTGCCTTACCTCTTTCTCGATCTTCTCCGCTACCTTCGCCAACGCATTCTTGTCTCTGACATCGCACTTGTAAAACGTGATGCCTGGTACTTCATCTTCGTTGGTCGACTTAACGTCGAGCACGGCAACGCTTGCTCCTCTGATGCCATAGACCTGGGCAATGAACAGACCAAGACCTCCACCTCCTCCAGTGACTACGATCACCTCTTCCCCCAGATCGACTTTTCTCGGTTTTCCATATGCCAATATTTTGCTAATTCCATTCGCGATGAAGACGCATGTAAGAAATGCGGCGTAGCCCACGGAAAATAGGAAGGCGCGGTGATTATACGGGGTCAACTGAGCACGCAGACAAAGCGGGACAATCCACGCAACAAAAGGATGTAAAACGGTGTAGCTGGCAACATAGTATAGGAGATCAACACTCAGTAATTCGTACCAGGCCTTTCCGGCTCTTCTGGGTGCGTCTCTGTTCATGTTCAGGGGCAGGGTGGACAATGATGGATGAGGCCAATAGTATGTGGGATTCTGGGTTGCGAAGAATAGGACGCGAATCTACGCATACATCATAGAAGCAAACATACAATCGGCAGACACATCCATTAAGTCATTAAGTAGGCATGAAGAGGAAACGGCACACCACCTGTTGCGAATGGGTTTCATGTTGTCCCTGAAATGCGGCCCGAGAAGAAAGTATTACGCCAGGACGCACAGGGAAGCGAAATGGATGATGGCCCCATGAAGTTCGAACCCCTGCCTGTTGGCCAACCACCTACTTGCCAATATCACCAATATCACCATCACCAAACGCGTGATATCTCAACCATCATATCGTATTACAATGTCAAATTCAGATGAGATGCTCCTACAGACCATTCACTCCGTACAGACCGTCAATGTAAATCATAAAACGAAGCTGTAGCACTATTCAAGGTCAATCGAGCTCCGCTTCAAAAACGCCTCAAGGGATCTGGTGATGGAGATCTGGTGACAGACTGTTGCAAATGATTGGCTGAAATTCAAGCGGACGCCACACCACTTTCGGAATAGCGCCGCAAGCGTTTCGATGGTCCTGGCTCTTAGGGAACTCCCTCTCTCTGCGACACCCACCACCCACGAGAGCACATCACACTCGCACTACAAAGCCATCTTGTTTCCGCCATGTAAAAGTTCGGGTTGGACTGATCATACACTTCCTAGCCGACTGTTGATATCGTCACTGAAAGAATCTTGACTACCGATTTCATTCTCTGGCTCAATCTCGGGTTCTTCTCTTCCACCAGCACCTTCTACCAACCCTCCAACTACCTTCTGCGCCGGATCCGAGTTTACCGCTCCACCACATTAGATCCAGGCAGTCTTTGACGACAACATTCTGGGATACCAGCGACCATCAACGTCTATTCTGGATACGAAATCTCTGCTCCCAACTTACCTCCACAACGCAATTCGACCCATCCTGTCCGATCATGGCGAGACCACGAAGCGGCACACCTCCAGAGAGGATAAACCCTCACTCTCCCCCACAACTCTCCAAACTCGACAAGCGACGGAAGCAGATCGCTGACAAGATCGAAGATATGAACACGGCGTTTGGGGTCCACCTACGATTTCACTATGAGGCCCAACAGCTGGCTCTCCATGTCGACATGAACATGGTGTTGAAGGCCAAGCCGTACGACGGACCGCTAGACGACAGCCCGGATACAATCAAGAAGCTCATAGCAGAGGAGCTGGGCTCGCATGAATTTACTATGGACGACGCGCAACGCGATTTTGATGCGGAAGCAGGCAGGTTCTACCAAGCCTATGTGCGGACGGTCAATGACCATTATTCGGCACGAGACAGCGATTTGTCGATGCTTGCGGTAAGTCGTCCTTCCCAGACGATCTTTTAAACGGTACAATACTAATGTTTGTTTGTAGACGCGCTACCAGAGGGATGTAACAACCATCGAAGACCGAGCCGCGTTTTTGGTTGCGACCGCTGAAGAAGAGCACAAGATCCTGTCACGAACCGTCCGCGAACGCCTGATAAACCAGCTGAATGCCCGGAAAGCCCGTCTCGTGCGGGAGAAGGACCAGCTGGATATTGCCGACACGAACGCCCAGCAGCTTCATCCTATTCAATTCTCCTTGGGTGACCTGAACAACCCTGGTGCAACCCAACATCCGCGCAAGACACGGCATGCGCGGCACAAAGCAATGGACCGCGATCGAGAGGAGCTGCTCGGGGCCCCCACCGGCCAAGATAATACTCGGAAGCGCAAAGCCGCTTTCGAAGACGACAACGACACCCCCACCCCCGGCGCCATCGGCACCGACCTCAGCGGCGGTTCCGGCTTCGAATCCAAACGCCAACGCACCACCGACAAGACCGAACACCCCGTCCACTCCGTCAACCGCCTGTTCACCGAAAAAGAACTCTCCCTCGCCACCAACAAAGCCGCGCAAGCCGCCCAGATCCATCTCCACCGTCTCCGCCGTCAAACCAGCGGCATGCAGGCCAACGGCGCCCCCAACGGCGTCAACAGCACGCACCCCGGCAACGGTGACGATGGCGCCACGCCCGCGATCGGCGACGAAATTGACGACAACGACACCCCCGGTGCGCCGGAGATGGAGCGCAACATATCCCAAACGCACCATGCGACGCGCGGGGCGGTGCGCAACGAGCGGTTCGCGAACTTCCGGCTGGTTCCCGCGACGCGGATCATGTACCGGACGATCTACGAATCGCGGGGGCGGATTGAGGCGAAGCAGAAGCCGGAGGTGATTCCGCTGACGGAGGAAGAGGTGGAAGATGACCTGCACCGGATCGTGGAGATGGGGGACCCCGGGGAGGAGGGGTTGAATTCGTTGCTGGATGCGAGTTTGGGGCCGGTGAATGCGTTGGGGGATGAGGAGGAGGAGGTGGGGAAGGGGGAGCAGGAGAATGCGGGGAGGAATGTGGGGGCGATGGCGGCGGTGTTGGCGGGGATGGGGGGGGTGCCGATGAGTGCGCAGAGTAGTTTGGGGGGGAGCGAGGCGGGGGCGGTACCGATGAGTAGGGCGGAGGGGAGTAGTTTGGGAGGAGTTGGAATGAGAAGGACAGCGAGTGGGAGGGGGAGGGGGAATAGACGACTAGCGGAACAATGATTTGGGGGATTCCTAGCCAAATGGTAAGACTCCTTCACCTTGGGTGTTGAGAGATGATTAGATGATAGACCGTTTTTGTTTACGGGGAGCGGGCAGGACGGTGTCTTATGCTATGACTTTTGAGTCGAGAGGATATTTATAGCATTACTCTTACTGAGACTCTTATGATGAGAGCTGGGTTGTCCAAGAAATGAATAGACGTATCTACGAACGTTGTCTACTGTACCAAGATCCAACAGCCAACATAACTCATCAGTGCAACAGAAGCTCACGGCTCAGGCTCTGGCTCTGGCTGTTAAGCAAGGCGTCAAGGCGTCAATAATCCACTCTCCCTGACCGCCCCACTTAAATTCTCCAAGTCCCAGTCCACTGTCCAGCCATCCAACACCATCATGTCCAGCAATGGGATAGCTATTCCTATTCGTATTTCCAAGAATTAACCAAGGAAGCAAACCTTCAATTCCCCAAACCGAAGGAATCCCAATCTTATCCCGCACAACCAACAAGCCACCCCCCATTCACCCGCCCACCATGTCCAAACCAAACGCCTCCAACACCAAATCCAGCGACACCTCCTTCCGCAAAACCTGGGACCGCGACGAGTACGCCGCCAAAGCGCACACTCGCGACGAACACACCCGCACGGAAGCCAAAGCGCGCTACGAAGCGACAATCGCGGGCAAGAAATACCACCGGCGCGCCTCAACGCCCCCCGATGCGCGCGACACGGAAGCGCGGGCGCACCGCCTCGATGTGGCGAGCCAGGTGGGCAAGACGATGATCGTGCCGGCGGGGATGGCGGTGGGGAAACGGGGGCGAGGCGCGGGGTTCTACTGCGACGCGTGCGACCTGACGTTTAAAGACAACGTGCAGTTGGTGGAGCATTTGAATAGCAAGCAGCATTTGGTGGCGACGGGGCAGAGTGGGGAAGTAAGGAAGGCCGGCGTGAAGGAGGTGAGGGAGCGGTTGAGGTGGTTGAAGAGGAAGAGGGGAGAGGAGGAGAGGGAGATGGTGGTGGATTTGGGAGAGCGGTTGGAGAAGCGGAGGGAGGAGGGGGAGGCGGAGGCGGAGGAGAAGAGGGTGGCGAGGAGGGAGAAGAGGAGGAGGGCGAAGGAGTTGAAGAGGGGTGGGGGGTTGGGAAGGGATCCGGATGATGAGTGAGGGGTGTTGAAGATGTTGCTTGCATTTGGTTTAAAACATTGCATTGGGTGGCGTTTGGGAGGAATCTCGGAGCTGGTCATGGAGTACGCATGGCGGACTATATCAGGACAGGAGTTATACCGCCAACCGGAATGGGCTTTTGCATGAATATGGCCTGCGAGGCACCGATGTCTATATTATACTTTCGAGCGTTCAGGGTAGTGAGTCCACACTACCACTACCGCCGCTCAATCAACCCCGGATAGCAAGACCGCTCTCAATCTTGGGGGATATCGTCGTACGGAAGAGGGGCTACACAGTATCACGGCTTCTTCCTTCGAAGTTTCGGTGCTGAAAGGATGCTACGTGTATGTCCTTGTTTCTTACTAAGACACACCTCTACCCTCGAGAGTCCATTCACGCTTTCACTATTCACATCCAGTGCCTACACCTGCAAACGCGGGACAATAGGGACATCCTATGTTTTGGTCAAGCCTGACAGAAGAAGGTCACATGTACAGAATGCAATAAGCAGAGGAACAGAAACTGAGAAACGAGGCCTTCCAAATCGCCCGAACCATCAATTTGTGTAAATGCGAGAGCTGTAGTTAAATGAATCTTGACTTTGATAGTTAATGCATTTTAGGTCGCATGCTACAATGAGGGCGAAGTGCAGCACAGCCAATCAAAAGTGAGTGAGGATCACCCCCCCCGTCGAGGGGCTCGCGTTCCAAACAAACGTGGCGGATTTCTCCAAAACAGTGAAGGCGTAAACAATAACAGAACAACAACTTCCATCCCAACCGTTCAATCTCTCCTTTGCTTCCCTTACACTCTCATTGCAGAAAATCCTCATGCTGGTCGATAGACCTGCCATTCGTTTGTTACTGTCTATTTGACCTTGTACAACTGGGCGTTGCGCGTGGACCGCGTTTGTCCTCGATATGGACGACTCCATGATGGATGATTCGGTGTTTTCGGATGGAGGGAGTTCCGATTTCGCGCCTGTGACGAAGGTAAGCCTGCCTAGAAGTGATATATCAGATGTAAGTGGATGCTAAACTGAATTCGCAGAAGGCGAAGGCGCCGGCGAAAACCGCGAAAACCACGAAGACTGCTGCAAAACCTGCTGCCAAACCCAAGGCAGCAGCAGGCAAAGCCAAGGCCACCGGACTGAAACAGACCACTCTCAAGGCCACCAAAGCAGCGCCAAAAAAGCGCGCAAAGCCGGTTTCCGAGGACGAGAACTCGGATATAGATCACGCATCTATCAATGACGATAGCCTGCTCTCAAACACACCTCCCAGCGCGAAGAATCTGAAGAAAGCACCGGCTCCGAAGAAATCGAGTGGCAAACCTCTTCAATCAATTGAGAACGAGAGTTTCACTACGGGTGATGGCGAGCCTCCCAAGAAGAAGCCCACCCCGAAGAAGGGTGGCAATTCGGATAGATATCAGAAGGTCGGTTGATCCACCCCGTCATACTGCAATACATCGCTGACTTGGATACAGCTCACCCAGTTGGAACACATCGTGAAGCGCCCGGATACATATATCGGTTCCGTCGAACCGGAGAAGCGGCAGATGTGGGTGTTCAACTCCACGACCGAGTCTATGGAAATGCGAGAGGTCACATACGTACCCGGTTTATACAAGATCTTCGATGAGATTCTGGTCAACGCCGCCGATAACAAGCAGAATGACAAGAACATGGACGAGATTCGTGTCACGGTCGACCGTGAAAGCGGTGTCATCAGCGTCTGGAACAACGGACGCGGTATCCCGATCGAGATCCATGCACGCGAGGGGATTTACATTCCGGAGATGATTTTCGGCCATCTCCTGACGTCTTCCAACTACGACGATGACCAGCAGAAAGTAACCGGTGGTCGTAACGGTTACGGCGCGAAGCTCTGCAATGTTTTCAGCACGGAGTTCACGATCGAAACCGCCGATGCCAAACAGAAGAAGAGATACAAGCAGACTTGGACCAAGAACATGAGCGTGATGGGAAAGGCCAAGATCACGGACAACAAAAATGGCGACGAGTACACCAAGGCCACCTTCTGTCCAGACTACGCCAAATTTGGCATGGCTGGCATCGATGACGACTTGGAAGCACTCATTAAACGCCGAGTTTACGACTTGGCAGGCACCAGCAAAGGCGTCAAGGTCAAGCTCAACGGCGATCGCATCAAGGTCAATACTTTTCAAAAGTACATCGAGATGTACACCAAGGCGATCAAAGCCGAACAAGGTGAATCGGAAACGAACGAGAAGCAAGTCATTCTACGAGACAATCCCGATCCACGATGGGAAATTGGCTTCGCTGTATCAGACGGATCTTTCCAGCAAGTCTCTTTCGTCAATTCTATCGCGACATCGTCAGGTGGCTCCCACGTCAACTATGTCGCAGATCAGATTGTTTCCAAGCTTATGGACATCCTCAAGAAGGACAAGAAGAGCGTCCAGCTCAAGCCACACCAGATCAAGAACCACCTCTTCCTCTTCGTGAACTGCCAGATTGTCAACCCAGCCTTCACCTCTCAGACGAAGGAACAACTGACAACCAAGCCTTCACAATTCGGAAGCAGATGCGTCGTCAGCGACGAGTTCTTGAAGAAGATGCTGAAAACCGATGTTCTGCGCAACATTCGTGATTTCGCTCAGAAGAAGGCCGATCAGATGCTCTCGAAGTCCGATGGTAGCAAGAGAAGCCGGATGAATAATTCCAAGCTGACCGATGCGAACAGAGCCGGCACGAAGGATGGCTGGCGTTGCACTCTGATTCTGACGGAAGGTGACTCGGCCAGTGGTCTCGCTCTTGCGGGACGTTCTGTCGTCGGTGCAGACTACATCGGCGTGTTTCCGCTTCGTGGTAAGCTGCTCAACGTTCGAGACGCGTCCATCGACCAGATCACGAAGAATCAGGAGATTCAAAACATCAAGAAGTTCATGGGTCTCCAGCACAAGAAGGAATATACGGATACCAAGTCCCTTCGATACGGCCATTTGATGATCATGACGGATCAGGACCACGACGGATCCCATATCAAAGGCCTCCTGATCAACTTCATCCAGTGCTCTTTCCCTAGCCTGTTGAAGATCCCCGACTTTCTCAACGTGTTCATCACACCTATCGTGAAGGTATGGAAAGGCGACCCTAAACATCCAAAGTCAATGAAGTCCTTCTTCACCATGCCCGAATATAACGCATGGAAGCTAGAGCATGGACATCAAAAAGGCTGGGATCACAAATACTTCAAAGGATTGGGTACCAGCGACCCCGAAGATGGAGAAATCTATTTCCGCGACCTAGATCGGCATCTCAAAGAATTTGAACCCATCAAGAGGGAAGAAACGGAGTTGATTGATCTCGCTTTCTCAAAGAAGAAAGCCGATGCTCGAAAGAACTGGCTCCGCGAATTCGTTCCTGGAACATTTTTGGACATGTCCCAGCGCATGATCAGCTATGATGAGTTCGTGAACAAGGAACTCATCCTCTTCAGTATCGCGGATTGTGAGCGTTCAATTCCATCAATGGTCGACGGCCTCAAACCCACTCAGCGCAAGGTCATGTATACCTGTTTCCGACGCAACTTGAAGAAAGACGTCAAGGTTGTCGAACTCGCTGGTTCCGTCTCCGAGATGACCAAGTACGCATACGGCGAGAGTTCCATGCAGCAGACGATCGTCGGGCTGGCTCAAAACTTTGTCGGATCCAATAACGTCAATCTCTTGGAGCCCAGCGGTACTTTCGGTACGCGTCGCATGGGTGGACAAGACGCGGCTAGCCCTCGTTACATCTACACGAGGCTGTCGCCGTTTGCTCGAAAGCTGTTCAATCCTGCGGATGAGCCGCTTCTGAAGTATCATGAAGATGATGGGAAGACGATCGAGCCGCACAGCTACGTCCCCGTCCTTCCGATGATCTTGGTCAACGGCGCCGATGGCATTGGGACCGGTTGGAGCACGTCCATCCCGAACTACAAGCCTGAAGACATCGTAGACAATATGAAGCGGCGGATGGCTGGGACTTGTAAGGAGGATATGCTTCCCATGACCCCCTGGTTCCGTGGCTTCAAAGGCCCTGTTGAAGACCTCGGTGGGAACAAATTCAAGTTCGGCGGTATCATCCGAAAGACTGGCAATAACGAAGTGGAAATCACGGAATTGCCGGTGCGGATGTGGACGCAGGACTTCAAGGACAAGCTTGAAGAGATCATCTCGGCTGAAAAGACGCCATCATTCGTTAAGGACTATTCGGAGTACAACACCCCAACCACCGTCCATTTCATTATCAAGATGGAAGACAAACACATGCAGGTTGCGGTGGAGATGGGTCTGGATGAGCGATTCAAGCTTGCCAAAACGATGACCACGACCAATCTCGTTGCGTTTGATGCGCAGGGCCGCATCCACAAATATGACACGGTCCTGGACATTATGGAGGAGTTCTACCACGTCCGCCTTCGGTTCTATGAGAAGCGCAAAGAGTTTCAGTTGGACCAACTCCAGAAGGAGCTTGACAAACTGAGCAATCAGTCCCGTTTCATCCAGATGGTCATCGACAACAAACTCACCATCGCCAAAAAGAAGAAGCAGGCCCTGGTGGCCGAATTGCAGAAGCTGAATTTTAGGCCCTTCCCGAAGGTCGCGGATGCCAAAAAAGAAGGCGAGCTAGAAGAGGCAGCGGAAGATGAGGAGGAATCTGAAGCAGTGGGAGCAAACGACTATGACTACCTGTTGGGTGTAAGTATCCCGCAAGCAAACACATGTACCTGTGACCTTCTAACCCCATTTTCATTAGATGCCCATGTGGTCCCTCACACGCGAACGCATCGACAAACTTCTCAAGCAAATCGGCGACAAGGAAACCGAAATCGACCTGCTCATCAAGCTGTCGCCCAAAGATCTCTGGACGCGGGATCTCGATGACTTCGTCGACGAATGGCACGCCCAGCTGGCCGACGAGCAGCAGCGCAAGAAGAAGATCGCCGGCATGGGTCGCCGTGCGTCCGCTAAGCTGGGCGGCATCGCTGGTTCGAAAGCGAGCAAGCGCAAGGCGGCCGATAGCGACGACGGGGACTTCGAGATCGTCAAGAAGAAGAAGACGACCTTGAGCAAGGCGCCGGTGAAGAATGCTGGCTTGTTGAGTTATTTGAATAAGGCGGGGCCGACCAAAGCGGTACTGGATAGTCCTCCTGCCACTGAGGTAGGTGCTGCGTCCCCGCCCCGGCCGAAGTTCCAGTATCCGTCTGCCGGATTCGACGGGTCGTCTGATGTAGAGATGGCGGATTCCGAGCCCGTCAAACCCGCTCCGGTGACGAAGACCACCAAGTCTGCCAAACCTGCCGCAGCGAAGCCCAAGAAACCCGCAGCATCCAAGGCCCCCCTCCCCTCTCCAGACTCCGACGACGACGCTGATGTCTTCGTTGCCGTCGCCGAGGAACCTAAACGCCCCGCTCGCCAAGCCCGCACCGCTGCCCGCAAGCCCGCCAAATACGTCCTCTCCTCCGACAGCGACTCCGACGCCTCCGACTCTCGCCCCGACCACCTCGGCGACGTCTCCATGATGGTCAAAGGCATCGGCCTGGGCCCGGACACCTCCAGCGGCGCCTCCCGTACCCTCTTCTCCAACACCGCCCGTCCCGGCAGCGCCAACGGTCTCTCCGCCAAAGCCGGCGGCCGCTCCCGCCTCAGCACCATGTCCCGCGTTGTCGACCTCTCGGACGACGAGATTGACGCGACGGACTACACGAAGTTGATTCCGCAAGACTCGCCGCGGCGGCCGGCGGTGCGGACGGCGAACGAGACGGTGTTGTCGGATGATGAGGAGGAGGAGGATAGCTTCATCGCGAGCGCGAAGCCGAAGCCGAAGGCTGTGGTGGGCAAGGTCGCGGCTGCGAAGCCGACGGCGAAGCGTGCGGTGGAGAAGGCGCCGAAGACGGTGAAGCCGGTGACTTTGAGCCCTGCGGCCAAGGCATATGCGATGAAGCAGGCGAAGGCGTCGGCTGCTGCGAGCGCCGGGGTATCTACGGCGAAACCGAAGGCGAAGGCGGCGCCGAAGGTGGTGGATTCGGAGGATGATATGGTGGATGAGTTGCTCAGCGATGAGGAAGAGGAGGAGTCGCTGGTGAAGCCGGTGGCGAGGCCGGGGCGGCTGGCGGCGAGGAAGCCGGCGAAATATGTGGTGAGTGAAGAGGAGAGTGAGGAGGATAGCTTCCAGGAGGAGAGTTTCGTGGTGGACGACGATAGCGATTAACTATCATGACGAGGGTGGGAAGGGCGATGGGACTATTCATGATGCGATGATGGATTTCATGGTTATTGGGCATGGTTACAGCGTGTATATTACTAACTACTAGTACACTACTAGTTGCCGTATGGAGCGCTGATATCCTCAAATGGGAATATTTCATTATTACTACTTCGTCCTGCAATTCATAGTGCGATTAATGTCTGCTTGGCCCAGGACCACTAGCTCGCTTGGCTGAACTTTAAATGAACCATCATCTCATTCTTCCTTCTCAAAAACGAGGTTACAATCAACGCTCGATGCCCATCCATGCCTCTATTGTGGTATTTAATGTCAAAGTTCCATTACCGTACAGGCCGAAGATTGTATATTGTACCCCGTCGATCCGCGTCTTGTGTTGTTTCTTTCACTTCCGCCTTCTCAACTATTGAATTCAAGAGTATCATCCGCATGTGTCACAATGCTACCAGCTCAGTTATTTAGCATCTAAACCTTACCGGATCCAACCAAGGCTACTGTCTCCTGTTGAATTGATGAAGTCGGTAATGTATTGAGCACTAAGGTATTGACGCAGCCGAACGCCCGCGATGGATGTCCGAGCCAAGATCCATTGGATGGTTTCATTAGCTCTTCATTCATGTTTGGAAAGAAGCCTTGATGTTTATCTCGGCTCGGGTTGACTTCGTCACACGAATCTAAAGCCGTCGCCTTGATCTTGCCGTCTGTTGGTTTGCAATTGGGCCTTCCCTTCGGCTTATCATCTTTCCGACCGCTTGTCGGTTTTTATATGCTTTTTTCGACGTACGTGGAACCCCAATCGATGCCTAACCCGACGATACCTATGGTTGCACACGACGCAATGTCGACTCCCAAGGAGATCAAAATCCTCCACTCAGCGGCTAAATCGAACTCGAGTTTGTCGACATTGGGATAACAATGCCATTATCTGGACTTTGCACGACATGAGCACGCGTCCATCGGACTGCTGGATCGAATCCTGGAAACGGATCCTGTCACTGTGACCATAGCATTCTGCTTCCAGGCACCGTGACACTCATCTCGCATGGAGCGTTGCACCTCAATCACGGTTGTTCAATGACGCCAATCTATTTCGACTTGAGAGCTTCCTTGATGAGGAAAAGTCCAAGACGGCAGTATTGGTGTTAAGGCAGCACCATGCGCTCATTCCTTAAGCTAGCACAACAATTGGCTGGAGCAAACGTGTCACCAGTGTGGGCTCCTATCGATCAATGATCGATTTGTGCCCCGATGCCTCTCAACTAATGGTTCACGTCGCATAGCCTTAGAATCTCCTCTTCTTCTCACTGATTAACGGAGCCTAGGTTGGAGGCCTAGTATAGCCGGCAATTTCAATCCCATGAAGTATCTTGTCTGGACAATTTGGCACTTCCCGTCGGCAAACACAGCTTGCCTCCTATTTCTCACAGCATCGTTAGATACCACTCACCTAAATGTTTGAATGATGTCTTTACCTTCGTCCTTCCAAAACATACGCGGATGCCGGATGAGATGCCTTTTTCTGGTTAGAGATTGCCCTCATCCGCGGGATCTCTTAAGGTCCGCTTGCTGGTACTTCCCTCGCTTCCCAGCCGCAAATTACAAGGCTCCAGCCACGTTACACAGATCAACAACACCGATTGTTCCGGCAGACACAGACCAAATCTCCTCGACATTTCTGAAGAGCTTGAGCGATCGCGGATATTTCTCAATCAGGAACTCTTCCTTCGGTGGCTGGTCCGGAAGGATCAGGTGACTTGAGGCTCTCATCACTCTAGAGTTCTCCCAACAGCGTCGCATCGATGCTTTACGGCAACGGGCAGCAACATGCTCCCACTCAAGATTCGGGTCGACGAGCGGTCAAAGTGAAACATGAAGCGGTGTCCGCAGATCTTCGGCGGTGAACGGCTATCAACACATCCCATCGACACATATCCTTCCCAGTGTCTCTACTATGTCTGGAAGCCGAATTGGTCTCAGTTGCGAGGAAAATGCAACGAACCGGCTTCGACTAAACCAACAGCAGAATCTCTGCCGAAGCAGTTGCAGCACCGGCGTTCGCATACCTGACGAGACTTGTTTCTAGGGTCGTGGAGGGCTGGTTGCGCCAACGGAAGGGCCAAGTCCATATACTCCCACGTTGTTGTAACCAGCCTGTCAAACCGAGTAACACTGCCGTACCGAGGGCAGCGGGAGCCCTGACTCCGGTCAGAGGACCGCCTGTCGAGTCACGCCTGCTTGCCCTGTTGCTCAAACCTGTGTACTCAGCTGGTGTTCCAAACTGGGCTCTGGCAACTGAAACCTAATCCAATCAGCATTGTCGGTGCTTTTGGTTGCGTTTTGATCGCCCGCTGCAGCCACCCGCAACGACTAAGCCCAAACAAGGGCACCGGCGGCCACGTTTGACTTGCATCTCTAGATCAAGCAGGGCATGGGTCGCCTACTGACAGGCGAACGATCACAGACGGGCCTAGGATATACTCCATTGCAGCCGGTTGGTCGACGGAAGCACCTGTAAAAACCATTGGGCCGGGAGTCCAGAAAGAGCCTTGCCATGACTATGAGAAGCTCATGACCCTGGACAATCCTAGTACGTCGCCCGACTTCCTTTGCACCACATGAGCTGCTCGCAGCGAGAACGCTGGAATTCTTCTCGCGTTTGATGTAACTGGGTGCCATACCAGATGCTAGCCCTCCTACTAGGGAACCTCAGATATCCATGGAAAATCTCATGGACTGTCAAACCGATCCTGAATTTCCACTGGCTGTCAAATTGTGATATACCAGGGCTTCACTGACACCAATAACGGTCTCCGGCTTGGCAATTGGCATCTCCTAGCTCTAGTGGACAACCCCATGTCTTCAACTCACGCTGGGACTGGTTCTTGAACCGTGAGGCGTAAAGTCTTTGAGGATGAGGAGCCGCCAGAGGATACCCGCAGGTTATGGAAGTGAGGATTCAAAGGCTGAGACCACCACTACACCATGAGCCTCGAATCTAGCGTTGGGGCTTTCACGGGGTCAATATCTTAACTGGTCCGCGGGAGATTTTCCCGGTTCCTCGTCGATATCAGTCCGTACTCTACTCTCCTCCGTTCTCTGATTTGCTTTGTTTTTAATCCTCACCTACATACTTATCATGTGCTTCTAAGAGAGTTACAATTGACTGCGGCGTGGGCAAAGAGACATCATTTTGGCGGTCTGAGAGGCCATCTGCATCTGGCAAACGTACCGCATAATAATGATCTCACTCGCCGAGCCGATAGAGTAGTCTCGCGATGACCATCCACTGATATTGTTCTTGTGTTTTGGTACTGCCGAACCCAGTCATTTTACGTGGCCACCAGCGGAAAGTTATAATATTCTATGAGAGGGAGTCGCTGATTCGGAGAGCAACCAAGTATGTGAATGTCTAGATCAAAGATCAGGTGGCGTGATATCTTTCCCCAATCCTCACCCGCTGCTATTCACTGGTTCTGGCAGACACTGACAAATTCTACCTGTCCAGAAATATACTTATCCAATACTCCTATCCACTTATCTACCCTCCGACCAACCCTTCCGTATCCTCGGCACTTCCTTTTCAAGCCGAGTTGTCCAGCGAACAAAATCTTGTTCAGACGTGGACGTAGAAACTTCGATTCGGAAATCTTGGTCCGCGTTCGGCCCATCTGAACAATAAAGAGAGCGGCATCGGAACGGCTGCAGGCGAAGATTCGTGCAGGCTTCCATGCTGAGCGCCTTCTGAAAGAACCATACAGTCGCCGGTTGGCAGAGTACCTGCTTGTTGCAGGTTTTCTGGAAGGAAGCAAAAGACCGGACGTGGGATCAAAGAAACCTATGACTGGCCGGCGGGTATAAGGGAGTGCTCATTTCTAGTCCTCGTGAGCACCTTTAAAATAGAGGGCAAACGAGGCATCACGCCAACCTTCTTTTGTAGAAGATTGAATTATCCGTCCCTGGCGCTACGGCTCAAACCGATCTCTATCTCACAGTGCCACAGTCACTCGCAAACCTCACTCCCAGGATTTGCTGCACACTTAATCCCGGCCTGGGACACTATTTCGTCCTAGCCTTGTCTTAGTACTTCAAGTGCTGTCACTTTATCTTCCCATTTCACAGACGACTCCCTCGATATCTGGAAGCGATGCAAATCCAGTCGTTACTTAACCCTTTGTCTGAGCCTCTTCCACCCGGCAGAGTATCACCGCAACGCTCCGCTCCTGAGTCTACCAGGCCGCAGTCCCATCGACCTGCCCAGGCGAGAGAGAGTTCGGAGCACCCCAGTAGTCAGTTCAAATACGACTCACTATCTACTCAACGGCCGGCGAAACTACCCAAAGATGCCCCCATATTCAAGGAACGAAAGCCTAGAGGGCGGGTGAACTTCGCGCCGTACGAGGCCGGAACTGGCAAGGAGATGGCTGCACAGCATAAGAAGTTTCGAATCTTTCCTGTGGGGCGCATAGGAGAGTACTGCCGACCAATCCCATACTCAAGCGATAAGAAGTCCTTCTGGTCTAAGACTGGCCGAGAAGGGTTTGAAGGTACGTCTTGATCCTCAAATGTTAAATATTAAGACGCAAACCAGGTGGAACCGTATGTGTCGTAATTCTCATCGCTAACGAAGTTACAGTGTTCCAATATACTTTCCAGCTTCCAGGTGAAGACAAGAAGTACACCGTGATGTGGGACTACAACATCGGCCTGGTCCGCATCACTCCCTTCTTCAAAGCCTGCAAATACTCCAAGACAACCCCTGCGAAAGTTCTGAACGTCAACCCTGGTCTGCGAGACATAAGCCATAGCATTACTGGGGGGGCGCTGGTCGCTCAAGGTACGAGCATGCCTTTATATGGAGATTACCGTTCAGTACTGACAAGATAATTAGGATACTGGATGCCCTTCCGATGTGCTCAAGCTGTCGCATCGAACTTCTGCTACGACATTCGTTGGGCACTGGCGCCTCTTTTTGGGCCGTCCTTTGTCAGTGAATGTTTGCCCCCGTCTCACCAGAACTTCGGTCACTTCAGAATTGACCCTAGGATTGTCAAGTCATGTACCGATGAGACCATGACGTGGAAGGCAGACGCAGCATCATTGTCCCCTTCCTTCTCGCCTCCAGCATTCAGAGAGTCGGTTGAAAGGGCTTCCAAATTCACTCCACAGATCATATCCCCATTCGAGGGGCATCCTGTCAGTCCAGCCACTCGACAGACTACTGGCCTACAGTCGCAGCCTCTTTGGAGACCTGGAACGTCCATGTCCGCTAAGAACTCACGGTCCCGCAATCGTTTTCACCCTGGCATCGGCGAGAAAGACGGTGAAAGCGGAGACGGCACTGATTCCGAAGGCAGTGATCGCTACCACTTCTCCCCTCAAGTCTCTCCCACTTCCAACGCGAGGCAATGGGCAGCAGTAAATCGCCCGTTACCGAAGCTACACCCTATTCTCACCGCCGACCTCCCCGTTCTGCATTCCCCAACGAGGCGAGCCGATGAACGACGCCCAGCATTCTCCGTTGGTCACCGCTACACAACATCAACGCCAGCGGTCAGCATCCCAGAGTCAGCCATCACTGCATCGACCGACACGACTGCTGGCTCGGGTAGCACCACTAGTCTGTCTCTCGGACCGGGAGTCAAACGGAGGGTCGACGACCTGGAATCATCGGATGAGGAACAAAATGAAATTGGGTCACCAAAGACTCCTGAAATATCCTCGGCGGAGTTGAGCCCGAAGACCACACGGTTCGCAGCCGAGCGGCGATTGAAAACAGAAATGACGGAGCAGGATGAACACCATGCAGCGGAGCTCATAATGGCACTGAAAGTGGCGGATAGCAAACTTGTGGATGCACATCGGGACAAGCGAAAGAGGAGGGCAAGTCGATAGACATCTTGCATCGCCTGATAATTGCAATGAGTACGACCTGCATGTGGGAAATCTAACGAAGTTATGACCGTTCATCCATTTTTATTCAATGGTGTTGGTCCAGCTGCTGTGCTTTATCGGCTTTTTTTTTGCATGGGCGAACCTGGTGATGGGCTACGACATTTCGTGGATCAGGAGGTTGAAGCGAACATAGATGAGAGCATCCAGAACGCAACGTAAACCACAAAAAGGAAGATCGGGTTTATTCACAAAGGATTTGGTTATGGTCATGTAAAGTACGGACGGAAGTTAAATTGTGCAATACACCATTCGAGATTTCAGCTCCGTCGAAACCACCAGCAACTGTTACATCAAGCTTTCGCCGCGAGTTCCTTCTGCTTCAACGCAGCGATCCTCTTTCTCGTTCCCTCAATAAGACCTTCCAGAGGGAAGTATTTGGTCAAGGTTGGCCTTGAGATCACTGCCTTCGCGTAGCGTGAGAACTTCGGCAGCTTCTCAAGATCTGCAATCAAGGACTTAGGGATGTGCTCCCCGTGTTCAGCGTATCCATATAATCGTGCGATAAACGGACCAACTTGCGTCTATGTTGGCGCCATATGGTCAGCGATATATACCCACGGGTTTTCATTCGCAAAGGTGTATCCATAACGTCATACTTAACTCACCTCAGCAAATGTGAACTCCTCGCTTCCACCGAAGAAAGGCCCCTGTCCTGCCTCCGGCAACAATGGCTCGATCTCCTTACGGATCACCTCTACCAACTCTTTAGCCTTCGCTTCCTTTGCTTCAGCGCCTTCCAGGAAGGCGATATTCCGCTGGTAGGAAGAGACCTTGTTATTGAAGGTGTCTACGAAGAAATTGATGCGAGCGCGAAGAAGCGGTGCCTCAGAGGAAGGCGGCAGAAGTCGCGAGGGGTGTGCATCAACCAGGAACTGGGAGACAGTGGCGGACTCGGTGAGGATCGTCGATGGGATCTTGGACGATTCATATTTAAGCGATGGGACAAGGCCGCGCTAAGAATCGTTAGCATGGGCTCATCGAACAAGCGTCATAGTTGTCGTACTGGGTTGACTTCCAAGTACCATGGCTCGCGTGGAACCTGCAGGTCGATTATGACCTGCTCGTATGGCAACCCAAGCTCTTCCAAAGTGGTGTGCGCGCGATGCGCGAACGGGCACAAATGGTTGGTATACAAAGTGATCTTGGGAGTTTCCGAAGCCATGGCTGTTAGATGGCTTTCCTAACTTTTCGATGAAAATTAAAGTACTCTTGTCAGTGTGAAGTGCTTAATATGATCTGGACAGAGCTGCAATTATATAGATATCCAGCATTTCGCGAGGATATCTAGGAACTGGAAAGGGTCTCCGATATTCGCGCCATATCACACCATGAATGCGGGGGAAGGCCAATCGCAACTGCTGCCTCGTAACCCATTCTGCCTACAGTCTCGGATCGCCAAAATTCGAATATTGGTCAGCGGCAATGCATGAAACGCGTTAAGATACGAAGTGTGGGTGCATTTCGTAATGAAGGATGGTATCCCAAGGACAATCGGGTGGTTGTTCGATCCGGTGTGGAAGGAGCTGCTACTTGCTAACTAGAATACCTCCAAGGTAGTTAGTTATTATTAATAATTAATATTGCGTGCGACGCCCTCCCTGCTGCCTATAGACATGGGGAAGTATTAACTATTGGTGTACTTGATTAGCACGAGCATGCAATATTATTAATAATACTATATTTCTACAAACGCCAATCGATATTCCGTGCCTCGATTCCATGCTCTTGGATCTGCTTCTGAAGGAGTTGAAACCAATACTGTATATGTCCAAGATCCTCAGCGCGTAGGCGGTCGTCTTTGACTGGTTTTTGGTCGATAAGCGGAAGGGTGTGGCGCTTGATAAATTTGTATTTCCAGTTCTTACTAACGTGAGGTGGGTGCGTTGTATCGAAGGCGTTTCTTCGGAGTATAGAGTTGGCGCACGCTTCGATTTCTGTGGGCGTAGGAGGCGCTCCCCACTCATCAAGCTGATGGATCCAAGCTAGGAGAGCCTTTTCTTGTAGCTGATCGAGTTTGGTCGCTTGTACGAACGGAGAACGTTTGGTATAGGATGTTTTTCCTTTAAGGCGGCCTCGGAGGACAGGCCGGCTGATTTGGAACTCACGCGCTAACGCTGAAACGCTAACCGATTTTCCTGCCTTTTTTTGCTCTGTAGCCTTCTTGAGTGCTTTCTGTATAGTCTCCTCTGAATATTTGACGCGTTTAGACATGTTTGGTGGTATAAATTTGAAGATGATGGTAAAATTGGACTTTTGGCGTGGGTTTGACTTTTGGTGTGGGAGCACCCACAACCGGAGGTTGTGGGGCGGTCATGAGGCACGGATAACTGTATTCCGTCCTCTGTGGCTTGATCGATATCAGCCACTCGCAACTTTCGATAGGAGTGGTTGTATTTCACCCGCCACGGATATCTCGATCACCTTTCCCTCTCTCCTTTCTTTCCTCTTTAGCTTAATTCTAGCGAATCAACCTGTTCAAATTACTCACTGAATAATTCAAGGTGTCATCGTTGCACATGCCATTCTTGGGATGCAGGAAGCGTACACCCCTCTTGTACTGAGAGCCATAATCCATGCTTCAACCAGTTCTGCCGAGTCGTTTTCCTGTCCTGTCTCGGCCAAAAAGTTGTTAATGAGTTTATATTACTACAGCCATATAGGACGGGCTGAAGTCGTCGACGCTCGGCATCAGCTAAGAGCTTTTCTAATGAGGGAGGTTGCAAGGTAGGCTGTTAATAATATGGAGCCGCAGTAACAGACACAGTAACAGACAACGGTAAGAGATAAAGGAGAAGGAATAGGATAAGATACTAGAATAGGGGCAGGGACTGACAAAGATACATAAGTGGTTATAAGATTCGTAGCTGGTGTAGATGTAGGAATTGGCATGGAAACAGGCGCAGGGCTGAGAAAAAGATAGAAGTCGTTACAGAAGTACCTGGTGCAGATGTAGGATCTGACACGGGAATAGAGGTGCATAGGTGCCGTAGGAAGTCAGCAAGTGATTAATCCAAGGTTAAAATCGGGGGACAGAAGGCGGCACACGTCGTTCAAAAGCTGATGGATCTCTACGAGTTGAAGCCTCGTTCCTCCTCGGCGCACCTCTTGTTTAAGCAGGAAGCGGCTCGAGGATAGACTGGTATGACATTGGAGATAGGTATATTAACTGTCCTTGCTCACGTCGATAGCGCCAATCGTCGTAGAGGCAACGTAGTAGTAATGTTAATCCAGAATTCTTTATTTTTTGTAGCGTATGACGACATGGAAGACCATTTGTCTTCTCAGATAGGCCAGAACAAGGATTCTTTTGCATTAAGCGTTCGCACCTCCATCAACGCCCCAGGAAGCTCCGCTGACAAAACTGCTCGCATCACTCAAGAGAAACGCAACGACCTCCGCAACTTCTTCTGGCTTTCCAAGGCGCGAAATTGGCGTATTTGGAGCAGGATCATCGGCACCACTGTCTTGAAGAATACGCAGCATCGGTGTGTCGATTGCGCCGCTGAAGGAACGGTCAGCGCATGCCGCCAGATGAAGGATGTATTATACTCACGGCATTACTGCGTTCACCCTGATATTTCGCTCTCCCGCCTCGATCGCCGCACTCTTCACCATCCCAATTGCAGCATGCTTGCTAGCGCTGAACACCGCACCTTTGGGATATCCGCGCATCGAGAACATACTTGATATGTGGACAACACTACCAAACTCTTCCAAAACGCCAGGATTCAAGGACTCCCCTAAGACATGGAAGAGGCCTTTGACATTCACACCTATAATGTGTTCGAACTCCTCGTCCGTCGTCTCCCAAACCGTTTCGTTTCCTAGCTTGTGGCCTGCGACGCCGGCGATATTTGCAACTCCATCCAGCCTCCCGAAATGTTTCTTTGTTGTCTGAATGAAACTGGCTACTGCGGATCGATCTGCAATGTCAATTGGTTCGGCGAGAACCCTCTTCTTCTGGTCGGATTCGAGGTTATGCACGACCTTTTCTAGGCTAGATCCGTTCAAATCGCAAAGACCCAGTGAAGCTCCGCGTGAGAGTAGTATTTTGGCAGTGGCTAAACCCATGCCAGAGGCGCTTCCGGTAACGATGAACACCTTCTCAGTGAGAGAGGACGCCATGGTGCGTTGCTATGCAGAAATCAAGAAATGGTGCGTGGGCAAAGGCAAAACCAGCCTAGGAGGATAAGAGAGGAAAAGCGTTAAATGGCTTTAGGAAATGCTCTACGCTCTTCATCTTTCTATAGTTGTCATAAGTGAAACACCCGCCCCACTGGCTAGCCCAACCTCCGGCCATATCCGGCAGGTGTAGATATCGCTTTCAAAGGGCAACGTGATAACAACACGATGATCCGTTCAATAGAATATCTTCAAGCGATTTGTGAGAAAATAGTGGTTCCATATGATCAGGTGACCTGGATACCCGGATTCAGCGGGAGAGCATTTTGGTTATCAAGAATTGAAGATGTTGATTGACCTTGTTCCTGATGAGCGTAAAACCTACGAGAATACGCCAATCTTTAAGTTCTGCATACAATTGATGGCCGTGGAGACCTTGATCCCCTCAAAACGAGCGAAAAAGCAAAGAATGAGGGCTGGTAATATCGCGGGATGCGTGATGCACTGTCATGGTTGGGAATACAGGGTCCATACCACCCAAAAACAAGCCATACTATGGTTACAGGCAAAAGTATTGTTAGCGCGGCGCTAATCAGGGGTGTCTAACCTAACCCGGTTTTGTTCATTCTTCCATTACTAATTGGATATAGATTTCACCATCTATTAGCCTGCTCATTCTCCGGACCTGAATCCTATTGAGACAGTATGGAATTAGATGAAGGACTAGATCCAGGACCACTATGGGAAATTGGGGATGCCTGATTACCTTATGACCAGCTTCGGGGGGGAATTAACGATGCTTGGGAGGCTATACCAGAGGAATTCCTGTACGAGTTGTTGAATCGATGGGCCAGAGATGCCAGGATGTGATAGGCGCAAATGGAGGTTATCCCTTCGGCCGCTGAAATAATGCCCCCTATCCTAGGATGGCACGAACCATCCTGTACCGTAAATGATCACCCAATCAGAGCTCGTCGGTATCTCGTCGCGCAGTATCCAAATCGTGAGTACAAGGTAGAGTTATATCATTCTTCAATTAATAATGTCGGGTAGGCCTTCTAAATGTGCCAAATTAGAGCCTACAACACTGATTAAAGCAATTCCGGAGCCTCCAAGCTACGACCCGCTCCCATATCGCAACATTTCTCGATTACCAGCAATCCAGATCCCGGACGGGAATAAAACAGACCCGTACAATCTCTTTAAGCTATTCCTTACTGATCAACACTTCCAAACGATCGCGGAGAATACCAATAAATATGCAAGAGCTAAGGAAGCAGGCATTGCAGGGAAGCGAAGCTGGTGCCCTACGACAGCATCTGAAATTAAGGTCTTTATCGGGGTCTTCATCTACATGGGCGTAGTGCGCCTCCCTGCGTACGAAGACTACTGAAAATCTAAATTTGGCCGACATATATGCGCGGAAAACCTTAGTCTCAATAGGTTCGAAGACCTGAAGAGATTCTTCCATATCAGCCCTCCAGAAACGCCTCAAGAGGCTGTTCAGGAAGGAAATGATGACTCGGACGACGATGCACAAGAGAAGAGCCGGAATTGGTGGTATAAGCTTGATCCAATTGCTTCGGAGTTCCGGGAGAACTGTGCGCGTTATTGGAAGCCTGGGGTCAACGTCTCAATTAATGAGATGATGATTCGATTCTTTGGACGAAGCAAGCATATAGTTAAGGCTCCAAATAAGCCTATTAAGGAAGGCTATAAGATCTTCTCCCTTTGTGAAGCTGGCTATACATACGCCTTCGTATGGTCTTCAAAGTCCAAAAGCTACTGAGAGGTAGTAAAGCAGAAAGATCTCTCGTTGACTGAATCGATGGTATTCCAGCTTGCTCAACAACTTCCAAAAGATACGCCGCATGTTATTTACATGGACAACTTCTTTACACGTGTTCCATTACTTCGGAAACTTCGAGAAACAGGAGTTGGAGCTTGCGGAACTACTCGACGGCACCCGGAGTTCCCTGCCTTTCTGATTAATCTTAAGGAGTACTGTTCTAAGCGTTTAGCGTGGAATACTACAGCTGCCATTGTCGCACGAAGGAAGATCAAGAAGGAACCGTCAGAGACTTCAAGAATATCACAAACTGCCTCCCAAGCTGCCTCCCAAGGAGCCTCGCAGACAAAGCGCGCAAAGCAGGAGCAGCAGGAGCAGCAGGAGGAGGATCCCTTAGATCCAGGTGTGATCTGCTTTGCGTGGCAGGACAATAATACTGTCCTCGCTTGCTCTACAGTCCATGATGATGGGGAGGAACAGACAATCGTTCGCTTAAGACGCCGCCCTGCACTTACGTCTACAAACGGACCTATTGTACGGAAGGTCTTCGCAAATAACGTACGAAAGAACCTTCCAATTCCTATCTTTATCGACGACTATAACCACTTTATGGGAGGCGTCGATATAGCTGATCAGCTCCGCAGCTATTATTCTACGCAACGAATCTCCCTTCGCAATTGGTATCCTCTTTGGTTCTGGATCATCGATACATCAATCTTAAACGCCTATCTAATAGGACGACAGCTGCACGGACAACAGTATATGGATCATAAGAATTTCCGAGCAGAGCTATGGACACAGTTATTCCGATATTCAGAGGATGTCTTCAGAGAGCATAAGCTTGCTCAATTTGAACAGCGACTAGCCCAGACTTATGAGGCTCCGCAGGCCAATCTACTACAGATACCCCTTGCAGAGCACAGGTTAATACCATTAACTGAGCAAGCTCGCTGCGTAGGCTGTCGGATGATCTTTTCTAGTACAAGAAAGCGCAAATTTGGAGACGTTCTTGATATTAATGGAGTACTTCGGAAAGACGTCGTTGAAGTTAACGGAGTACTTCGCAAGTCTCCTGGAAAGACGCTATTTGGCTGTAGTGTCTGCAATGTCCCTCTCTGTACAGATAGTGGCTGCTGGAATAACTATCATAGCAAGATATCGCGCTTTAAAGAATAGTATCTAGTATCATGGAGAGCGAGCAATATCTACTACAGCGACATCTGATTGGGCGGCTGCCCCCTGTATGTTGGTATGTGCCACCCTAGGCTAGGGGGCAATGTTTCAGCGGCCGAAG